TGGGCTGGGGCTGGGGCCCCCTGCCCTGCCCTGGGTTCCTTGGAGGAACGAAGGCCCCCAGGTTCATTGCCCTGGGCAGGGTGGGGAGTGGGGACAGGACCCCAGTGGTACTCCCCGCTGTGACCTGAGGGGAGCACACTGCCCCGGGAGCCGGGCCTGACGGCTGTGGCAGGCCTTGTTTAATTCTCTCCTATCATCGGGATGAACGGTTCTGCCAGGAGATGAGGCCAGAGCCCCACCCCACCCACCCCAGGGCCCTGGGAAACTCCCGGCCTCTCCCTGTCTCCCTCAGGTGGCTGCTGCCGCTGGATGGTTTGGGGTCTTGCTCTGCTCCTGTGGGTCGGACTGGGGAGAGCCAGGTTGGAGTTAGGGAGAGCGGGGCTGCATCAGCAGGAACCCCTTGCCCTCTGCACCACCCACCCCAGCACTAGGACGTGGGGGGCAGGGACAAGGCAGGGTAGATGGTGACCCCAGGAGGCCGCTTCCATGGGGAAGGACCTCCCCCCTCAGGCAGGGATGGTCCAGAAGGAGCGGCTGGATGCTCAGCGCTAGCATTTCCTGCCCCCAGGGCCCCTGAATGTCGGTGCTAGGAGCGCCCAGGAGACATGTGGTGGGAACCTGAGGCTCAGCAGAGCCTGGCCGTGGTCACGAAGCCACATCAGACCAGGTCCCTGACCCTGTGTCCGCCCCTGCCCCACCCACAGGCCTCCCCACAGTTTCCAGTCCCCGAAACATCGCGTCCTGTGACAACAGAGCCATTGACGCCACATCCCGTGGCTGCTGGGAGCCCTCCCAAGGGTCCTGAGTCATGTGCCCTGTTGATGGAGGACAAGTCACCTTCCGGCCCTGGCTGTCCATGGACAGTGTCCGTCCTCCCCCCCCCCCGCCCCCCGGGCTGGCTTGGCCAGGCCACCTTCCTCCTGTCCAGAGGGCCGTGGCCTCGATGGGACTCATGCCTTCCATGCCCTCTGGCTGTCACCTTCCTGTCTCTGCCTCCTGTTAGCCTCCTGTCCTCGTCTGTGAATCGAGTTGAGAGGCAGATGTCAGATCAAGGCTAGTCTCCCGCACCCGCTGTGTGTCAGTTTCGTCATCCCTGGGTGAGGGGTCTGCCCCCCCTCTCACAGGCAGGGGTGGCCCGGAGTGCTGGGGCTTTGAGCCGGGGGGGGGGGGGGCTTGGACTTGGGGCTCGGGCATGGGGACCCACAGCATGGCCAAGGGGCCGAAGGGCCAAGGGGGAGGCCTGGATCCTGGAGGCCCAGGCTGGGCAGCGGTGGAAGGTTGTGGCTGGTTGCGTCCCTGGGTCTAAATGTCTGGAGCGCCCCCCGCTCCCAGGGTGTGTGTCTGAAGGTGCCAGCTTGAGCCTGTGCCTCCCTCCCCTCCATTGTCCCCCAAACACCCCCTGTCCCAGCAGGACGGGGATGGGCACAGCCACGCCATGCCCCCAGCCAGGGTATAAATAGCCCTGGCGGGCTGTCCCAGCTGGGGGGGCTCTGCTGGCAGCCCCACTTCCTCTCTGGCCACTTCCTGGCTCTGGGGGTGGGGGAGTGTTTACTTTCCTGTTGTCACTGTGGCTGGGTGGCCAGGCGGGGGACTCCAAGTGGCCCGACAACAGGTGCAGGACAGGTGCCCAGCTGCCCTGCCCAGGACTTCAGAGGCACCGCCGGACCGGCGGGCGAGGCCGCAGCCAGGCCGGGATCGGCCCTTTGATCCCTCGGCGTCCCTGCGTCCCAGAGGTTGGCCGAGGTCATCACCTGTATTCCCTTGTCGCCGCACCGTCAGGCTGGACAGGCAAGGCCTCTGCCTGCCCTCAGCCCCCCCACGTGGGCTCTGGCCGGCTGAGGGAGTCCCCTGGCTGCCATCCCTCCTCAGGCCCCTCCCAGCACATCCGGGAGCTCTGTCCAAGGCTGCCCTCAGCCACGGCCCCTCCAGCGCTGCTCCCAGCCCACAGCCGGGGCCAGGGCGGCCAGGCCATTCCAGGCAGCTGCCTGAAGGTGACCTTGACTGATGGAATGGGGCCACCTCAGGCAGCCCTTTAGGGCCTTGGATCCCAGCTGTTCTCCCTCTCCAGGCCTCCCACTTGATTGTCCCACCTGTGAGATGGGTAACCAACCACCTGTGAGATGGGTTCCTAGATCTGAGACGGGTAGCCACCTGTGAGACGGGTAACCAACCAGCTGTGAGATGGGTAACCACCTGTGAGACGGGTAACCAGCTGTGAGACGGGTAACCAGCTGTGAGACGGGTTAGCAGCTGTGAGACTGGTTAGCAGCTCTGAGACGGGTAACCAGCTGTGGGACGGGTAACCAGCTGTGGGACGGGCAACCACCTGTGAGATGGGTTACCACCTGTGAGACTGGTACCCAGCTGTGAGACGGGTAACCACCTGTGAGACGGGTACCCAGCTGTGAGACGGTAACCACCTGTGAGACGGGTAACCAGCTGTGAGATGGGTAACCAGCTGTGAGACGGGTAACCACCTGTGGGACGTGCAACCACCTGTGAGACGGGTAACCAGCTGTGAGACGGGTTAGCAGCTGTGAGACGGGTTAGCAGCTGTGAGACGGGTAACCAGCTGTGGGACGGGTAACCAGCTGTGAGACGGGCAACCACCTGTGAGATGGGTTACCACCTGTGAGACTGGTACCCAGCTGTGAGACGGGTAACCAGCTGTCAGACGGGTTAGCAGCTGTGAGATGGGTAACCAGCTGTGGGACGGGCAACCACCTGTGAGACGGGTACCCAGCTGTGAGACGGGTAACCAGCTGTAAGACGGGTTAGCAGCTGTGAGATGGGTAACCAGCTGTGGGACGGGCAACCACCTGTGAGACGGGTAACCACCTGTGAGACGGGTAACCAGCTGTAAGACGGGTTAGCAGCTATGAGACGGGTAACCAGCTGTGAGACGGGTAACCAACCACCTGTGAGACGGGTAACCAGCTGTAAGACGGGTTAGCAGCTGTGAGACGGGTAACCAGCTGTGGGACGGGTAACCAGCTGTGGGACGGGCAACCACCTGTGAGATGGGTTACCACCTGTGAGACTGGTACCCAGCTGTGAGACGGGTAACCAGCTGTAAGACGGGTTAGCAGCTGTGAGATGGGTAACCAGCTGTGGGACGGGCAACCACCTGTGAGACGGGTACCCAGCTGTGAGACGGGTAACCAGCTGTAAGACGGGTTAGCAGCTGTGAGATGGGTAACCAGCTGTGAGACGGGCAACCACCTGTGAGACGGGTAACCACCTGTGAGACGGGTAACCAGCTGTAAGACGGGTTAGCAGCTATGAGACGGGTAACCAGCTGTGAGACGGGTAACCAACCACCTGTGAGACGGGTAACCAGCTGTAAGACGGGTTAGCAGCTGTGAGACGGGTAACCAGCTGTGAGACGGGTAACCAGCTCTGAGATGGGTAACCAGCTGTGAGACGGGTAACCAGCTCTGAGATGGGTAACCAGCTGTGAGACGGGTAACCAGCTGTGAGACGGGTAACCAGCTGTGAGACGGGTAACCAGCTGTGAGACGGGCTAGCAGCGGGGGAGACGGTCGGGCATGACCCATGGGTGAATGCCTCATCCGATTCAGGACATGTGTGCACGTGTGCAGCCTGGGCCCTGTGCGGACACGCATGTGCCCTGTGTGCTGCCATCTCAGGCCTCTGTGCTGGTGACATTCATCATCCTCATTACCTTCGCTCTCCTGCTGAGCTAAGAATAGTTGGGGGTAGGGGTGGGGGGGCGCTTGCCAGGGGACCCCTGGCTCTCTCCCTCTCAGAGTTTCCTGAGTCCTGTGCGTGCCACTGGCCTGTCACTGGCCAAGTTCCCTCCTGTCCTTCCCTCCCGGGAGGAGGACTTCCCCCAGCTCCCTGGCGGAGGGAGGGCCGAGCTGCCGGCTTCATGAGGCCCCTGTCCCCGCCCGGGGCCGCCGCAGTCCCGGGGGTCTCTTCCCCGAGAAAGCGCTCCTGGCTGCTCAGAGCGGCCTGAGAATCCCACCGTTAGCAGCCGTGGGCCTGGGGAAGCCCCGTCCATCGGGCAGTGTGGCCGCAGTCGGGCGTGCCCGTGGCCTGGCTAACCCACTCAGACACAGTGCTAGCTTTGCCCTCTGTCTGGTGGTGAGGACAGGGCACCCGGCTCTGTGCCAGCGTCTGCCGTCTGCGGGCTGTCCTGAGCTTGCCTGCCTCCACCGCCCGCTCATTAACCCTTTGAGGTCCTGCGGGCTCTGGCCCCACCCTGGCATCAGCCCGACCAGAGCAGACGCTTTGATGCCACCACACTCGCTGGCTCCTGCCCACTATCCTTTCACTGGGGCCCAGGCCTGCGGGATGGCCGAGGAATCAGGGCTTCAGCTTTGGGTGTGGCCCCTCTCTGCTGACCCACCTGTCCCTTTCTGCTCCCAGCAAGTCAGCAACTAGATCAGTGGTCGGCAAACCGCAGCTCGTGAGCCACGTGCGGCTCTTTGGCCCCTTGAGTGTGGCTCTTCCACAAAATACCACGTGCGGGCGCGCACGTACAGTGCGATTGAAACTTCGTGGTCCATGCGCAGAAGTCGGTATTTTGTGGAAGAGCCACACCCGAGGGGCCAAAGAGCTGCATGTGGCTCTCGAGCCACAGTTTGCCAACCACTGAACTAGATAACTAGATCCCGGCCGGTGTGGCTCAGTGGTTGAGCATCGCCCTATGAAGCAGGAAGTCACAGTCTGATTCCCAGTCAGGGCACATGCCCAGGTTGCGGGCTCGATCCCCAGTGTGGGGCGTGTAGGAGGCAGCCCATCAATGCTTCTCTCTCATCATTGATGTTTCTCTCCCTCTCCTTCTCCCTCTCCCTTCCTCTCTGAAATCAATAAAAAATATATAGAAAGTCAGGGACTAGAGAGGAAGGAAGCTAAGTGCTCCCTGGAGGCAAGGCCGGGGATGAAGATGACAGAGTGGGGGACCCCCTCTGCTAAGGGGGGTGTGACTGGATGGTCTCCAAGGGCCCTAACTACTGCCCTGCCCCCGCCCACAGAGCTGAAGGCCACGGGCACTGCCCACTTCTTCAACTTCCTGCTCAACACCACGGACTACCGCATCCTGCTCAAGGACGAGGACCACGACCGCATGTACGTGGGCAGCAAGGACTACGTGCTGTCCCTGGACCTGCACGACATCAACCGCGAGCCCCTCATTGTAAGGGCCAGCCCAGACGGGAGGGGGGCGCGGGGCAGGGGCTGTCCCGCAGGCCGCACCTGACCCCCGTGTTCGGCAGATCCACTGGGCGGCCTCCCCGCAGCGCATCGAGGAGTGCGTGCTCTCAGGCAAGGATGGCAACGTGAGTGCGTGCGGTGGGGCCCGCAGGGGAGGGGGCGGCGGGCAGGGACTCCCGGGAGGCAGGGGGCCAGGCAGGCACGTGGGTACCTCCCGGCTTTCCGTCCGGCCCCAGGGTGAGTGCGGGAACTTCGTCAGGCTCATCCAGCCCTGGAACCGAACACACCTGTACGTGTGTGGGACTGGCGCCTACAACCCCATGTGCACCTATGTAAACCGTGGCCGCCGGGCTCAGGTAAGCCTGCACACCCCCCGCCCCCCCCCCCCCCCCGCTAGCTGCCCCCATCGGAGACTCCATCCAGGGTTCTGATGGGAGGAGGGGCGTGAACCCCAGCCCTGCCACTCCCAGCCCTGTGACCCTGGGTGAGTGACCTCTTTCGCCCCTCAGAACCTCAGTTTCCTCTCCTGAAAATGGGCTCATAGTGCCTTTCTCATAGGTCGGTGTGAGGAGGAGGCAGTGAGCTAACTCCCAAAGCTCTTAGCATGTGCCTGGCACGTAGCAGGCACCCGCTCCACACGTGGCAGCGGCTCCCTGGGCTGTGCCTGTGGATGGTGCCCGCAGCCCAGCCAGGGGCCCGGCGGGGCCTCAGCGTCAGGAGGCTGGACGCCTGGGCCAGCTCCTGCCACTCAGCCGGGGATGGGGGGTCGGGGGGAGCTGCCCCTTCCCCAGCTCTGCCCACCCTGCCCGCTTCTGCCCTTTTCCATTTCCATGTGGGCACGTGTGTGGCTGGCGTGACCTCGTAGAGCGTGTGTAAGAGTGACTGGACCTAGGGGCACGTGTGTGCAGGTGTGCACCAAGTGGTGTGTATGTGTGCACGCACAGGCGCATCTATGTACTCTGGGGGCCCAGGTGCTCACGTGTGTTCTTGGCGTGTGTGGTGTGAGAGGCTGGCAGCCCGAGCCCGCTCCCCCAGCCCCTGCCACCCCCAGCTCTAACCCCTGTTCCTCGTCTCCTCAGGCCACACCCTGGACCCAGATGCAGGTGGTCAGAGGCCGAGGCAGCAGAGCCACGGACGGTGCCCTCCGCCCGACGCCCACAGCCCCACGCCAGGTGGGCTCATCCCTCCAGGCCCACGCCAGGCAGCCCTGCCTCTGAACTGAGCTCCTCCTGGGCCCGGCCTTCCTGCCAGGACCCTGTGCCCAGGCCAGGGTGCCCTATCTCTGTGCCCCTCCCAGCCCCTCCCCTGCAGTGACTCTGAAGGCCCCAGCGGGATTCATGTCCACTGTGTGCACCCCGCAGGCGAGAAATCATGAAGCCACCAGGTGGGGAAGACAGGAGCCCGGGGGCAGCCATGCCTGAGCCCTCAGGACTCATGTGTGTAGACATGCATGAGCACATGCCAACACACATGTGGGCACACATTTGCTCTCAAGCCCACACCTTGCTCAGCACCCAAGTGAGAACATGGCACATGTGTGCAGTCCGGCATCTCTCTCAGGGGTCCGTGCCCCGGGCCTCCATGGGTCCCTGGTCGGCACAGGGGCGGGAGGGGCAGAGCTGTCTGTCACTGGTCCTGACCTGGGACTGGGGTGGGGGCTGGGACTGGGGCTGGGCAGGGGCGGGCAGGGGGCCAGGGGCTGCCGGTGAATGAGAGCAGATGGTCGCGAACACGTGTGTCTGTGGCGGGCAGTACTGAGAATGGGGACCGTCAGACTGCGTGTGCGCCAGCGTGTGAACAGTGGGCGCCGTGTGCCGCAGTGAGCGTGCCCAGCTGTGTGTGCAGCTGCAGTGAGCGTGCCCAGCTGTGTGTGCAGCCCCATGTGTGCTGGATGTCGCGTGTGCAGAGTGAAACTGGAGACGGGCCTGTGCACACCTCCCATCACCTCCCCCGCCACCCGCTGCACCTCCTGCCTCTGCGCCTCTCCTTTCCCTCCTCCCAGGAGCTCCTCCCGGTCCCGTGCCTTCACCAGCCTCCCTCCTGGCATCTGCAGGGCAGGGCGGGAGGCTCTGTGAATTCCATGTGGTTTGGGCGGGACCCTTCCATGCCTGGCTCCCTGGGGAGACCTGGAGGCCCTAGGGGGAGGGGGGGCAGGCAGAAGGCCGTGGCCTGTTAGTCAGTCCTGAGGACCATGGGTGCAGCACAAAGCCTGGGGCATGGTGACCTCAGAGCCCTCTGATCTGGTGGGACCTGATGGCAAAGGACAGGACCTTTGGCCGGTGCCCCAGCCCTGACCAGGTGGCTGTCCTCCTGGGCCCAGGGCAGACAGCCACAGCTCAGTCTTCCTGACCCAGTGGGCGTGGAGGGGCTTCAGCCCTGTGAGCCCGCCCCGTGCCTTCTCATGGCCCCCAAAGCAGAGTGCTCAGACCTGGGACTGGGCAGCGCCTCCCTTGGAACCTGCAGTGTGGTCCTGCCCTGGGCCGCCTGGCTGGACAGAGTTCAAACCCCGAGATCTGGGGAGTGAAGGGCGGTGGCTTCGGGGTAACCCTGGGCTGTTGACCTTGCCCTTCCTTTCGGCCGTGGGACCGGCCTGCGATGCTGAGCCGCCCTCTGCCCTGCAGGATTACATCTTCTACCTGGAGCCCGAGAGACTCGAGTCAGGGAAGGGCAAGTGTCCATACGACCCCAAGCTGGACACAGCCTCAGCCCTCATCAGTGAGTGCCCGCCCCACCCTGTCCTACAGCCCGGATGTGTGGCCTCTGCTTACCCCAGGGGACGTGCTGGCCCTGAACCCCCCAGTGGGCCCCACCTGGTGGGGAGAGGGCTACAGACAGACCCCAGTGTGAGTGAGCTGAGGGGCAGAGACTGGGCAGATGGTGTGGAGGGGCCAGATCCCACCCTGCAATCCAGTGTGGCCGCAGGCTGCCTGGAGGAGAGGACAGGACAAGCTGAGTCGATATGGGGGGGTGTAAGGGGGGGTAGGGGTGGTCGATAATCCCATCGCATGACCCCGGTTTGCCTGGGAGAGGCCGACGGGGGGCACCCATGGGGATTCCTGGCCCCGTGACCTCCTGGGGGGGTGTTTTGGTCTGGCCAGGTGTCTGGGGAGGTTGGGGGGATGTTCTCTGAGGAGGGGTTCAGTCTGGGCCTCAGGAGCAGCTGCTGCCCCTGCTCACAGAGGGGTGAGACCCCCCCTGACACTGGTCCCTGCATGGTGGCTGTCCTCTGGCTGCCCAATCCAGTCTGACTCTCGGAGCAGCTGCTGGGCACCGTGCCACCTCCGCGGTGCCAGGCCCTGGGGCAGGGGATGGGCATTTTCCTCCCATCGTGGCGAGTGTGGTAGAGGCTGCGGGGACAGGGCCTGCCCGGGAGGCTGGAGGTGAGACTAGGGGCCGGCTGGGTAAAGCCTCCAGGTGTTTTGTGAGCCTGATGTCAGCACCTTCAGGGCGGAGCTGTTGTTAAAAGTTAAATTATATGAAGTTACAATTAACTCAGTTACTTTTAAAGAGGTACATGCACTCGAAGCTCGTTGCTTCCTGATACCTTACAGCTCACTGTCCTGCTCCTGAGGGTGCTGGCCTGTGCCACCTGTGGGTGGCACGCTGTGAGCGGTGTGGGCCCTCCCTCGGGCTGGCAGCTTCTCCCCCAGGAACGGGCGCTGGCTCTGATCAGGGCTGCTTGCAGCTGAAGCCCCGTCTCCCAGGGCCCGACCCGCATTGCCAGGCACCCACTCACCAGGGCCCTGGGCAGCCCAGGGAGACGGGCCTGCCCTGCAGGTCACGTGGGCTCCTGACATCCGCCCGGGTCCTGGCAAAGGGCGGCCCCTGATGACCCTCCCGCCCACAGACGAGGAGCTCTATGCGGGCGTGTACATCGACTTCATGGGCACGGACGCGGCCATCTTCCGCACCCTCGGCAAGCAGACGGCCATGCGCACGGACCAGCACAACTCCCGCTGGCTCAACGGTGAGGCCTCCCACCAGCGCAGGGCGGGGGCAGGTCTGGGATGTCGCGGGGATCCCCAGCCCTGTGCCTGGGGGAGTGGGGGGAGTCGGGGTGCTCCTGGATCTGGTGGGGGGCGGGGGTAGGGCTGCCCCGCTGACCCCGCGCGCCCGCAGACCCCTCGTTCATCCACGCGGAGCTCATCCCCGACAGCGCGGAGCGCAACGACGACAAATTGTACTTCTTCTTCCGCGAGCGCTCGGCCGAGGCGCCGCAGAGCCCCGCCGTGTACGCCCGCATCGGGCGCATCTGCCTGGTAGGCGGCCCTCCCCGACCCGTCCTGGTTCCGACAGCCCTTCTCCTCGGGCAGGACGGGGGGCAGGGGTGGGGACGGAGGGGCAGGGGCGTGGAGACGGGGGGCAGGGCAGGGGCGTGGAGACGGGGGGGGGGGGGGGCATGGGGACCGGTGGGCAGGGGCGTGGGGACGGGTGCCCGGGTCCGACCAGCCCTGCCTCGCCCCCCGCCCCAAGAATGACGACGGCGGCCACTGCTGCCTGGTCAACAAGTGGAGCACGTTCCTGAAGGCGCGGCTGGTGTGCTCCGTGCCCGGCCACGACGGCATCGAGACGCACTTCGATGAGCTCCGTGAGTCCCAGGGGGCGGGCCTGGGCGCCGGGGGCGGGGCTGGGCGCCTGGGGCGGGGCCTGTGCGCCTGGGGGCGGGCCTGGGCGCCGGGGGCGGGGCCTGGGAGGCTGGTCAGAGCCCCTTGCGGGGGTCTCCCTGGGCGGAAGTGGGCAGGCCCTGGGCTCCGCCGTGGTCCCTCCCAGCGGCCTCTCCCTCTGTCCCCAGAGGACGTGTTTGTGCAGCAGACGCAGGACGTGAGGAACCCGGTCATCTACGCCGTCTTCACCTCCTCGGGGTGAGGCCGGCGCCGCAGAGGAGGGTGTGGCGGGGTTGGGGGCTCTGGGCCTGGAGGACCCCGCCCCGGGGGAGCTGTGAGGTGGGGGACGGGGCGGGCCTGGGCCCAGGGTCGCCCGGTGCCAGCAGCGCCTGCCCTGCCCGCAGCTCCGTGTTCCGCGGCTCCGCCGTGTGCGTCTACTCCATGGCCGACATCCGCATGGTCTTCAACGGGCCTTTCGCGCACAAGGAGGGCCCCAACTACCAGTGGATGCCCTTCTCGGGGAAGATGCCCTACCCGCGGCCCGGCACGGTGAGCAGCCTCTCCTGCCCCTCCTGGGAGGCCCGCGGGCGGGGAGGTGAGCACACACACAAGTAACCCACCTTCCCCTCCGAGAAGCTGAAACGTCTGTATTATTTTTAATCCTCACCTGAGGGTGTTTTCCGTTGATTTTTAGAGAGGGTGGAAGGGAGGGGGAGGGAGGGACACACTGGTTGGTTGCCTCCCGGCAAGGCCCCATCGGGGCCGGGATGGAGCCTGCAACAGAGGTACCTGCCCTGGACCAGAATCGAACCCGGGGCCCTTCAGTCCATGGGCCAACGCTTTATCCACTGAGCTAAACCGTAAAGCTGAAATTTTTTAAAAAACACCATTTACACACGGCTGTGCAGGCTGTGACACAGCTCAGCCAGGGTCCGGGAACAAAGCTGTGGGCGGCGAGGCGGCTGCTCCTGGGGGGCTGCTCGCTCCCGGGGGGCTGCTCCCAGGGGGCTGCTCCTGGGGGGCTGCTCCTGGGGGGTGGACTGCTCCCAGGGGGCTGCTCCCGGGGGGCTGCTCCTGGGGGGCTGCTCGGGAGCTGGAAGCTAGAGGGAAGAGTTCAGGGCAGAAGTGGGAAGCGGGCTGGTCAGCCTGTGGCTGACAGCAGGTGAGGGGCGGGGTGGTAGGAGGTGATTTGCTTGATCTTGGGGTGTTAAATGCAGGGCAGTACCGCTCCATGAGGTCAGGGAGGTGAACTCGGAGGCTGGGCAGGGGAGGGGTAGGGAGGGGAGGGCATAGCTGGGCATTAGAGTTCAGGGCCTGCAGGGCTGGGTGGGGCGGGGTGAGGAGCATCCAGAGGAAAGAGACCACAGGGCAGGGGTGGGGGGACGTGGGAAGGGAGTGGTCAGCTCTGCAGAAGGTGGCCACGAGGCCTGGCTCAAGGGGCCAGGCAGGTGGCCGTGGCGTCGGCACTGTGGAACCTGGGGCCTCCACTGGAGCGGGCCCTGCAGAGAGGCTGGCGCAGGGCAGACGCCTGGCTGCACTGAGGAGCGAGCAGGCGAGGTGGTGGGCAGACAGACGGACAGAGGCCTCTCCTGCGGACGTGGGTCCAGGGAGGCCTGCCTGGCGGCCTGGGCCTGATGCGCTCACCTGCCTGCAGTGCCCGGGAGGGACCTTCACGCCGTCCATGAAGTCCACCAAGGACTACCCCGATGAGGTGATCAACTTCATGCGCAGCCACCCACTCATGTACCAGCCCGTGTACCCGCTGCAGCGGCGGCCCCTGGTGGTCCGCACGGGCGCCCCCTACCGGCTCACCACCATCGCCGTGGACCAGGTGGATGCAGCCGACGGGCGCTATGAGGTGCTTTTCCTGGGCACAGGTACCCACTGCTGCTCCCAGCCCCTCCTGCGCTGGGCCCGCGGGTGGAGGGGGCTTCTCCGTGGGGCTGGGACCTACGCTCTTGGGGTTGCTACAGGATGGGCAAGGTCAGCTCTGCCACCTTCATCCTGTGGAACCTTCTCCCTGTTGCCAGGGTAGCAGACTAGGGGTGGGCAGACCCCATTCTCATCCCTGGGGGACAGGAGACCCTGTATGGGCAGGAGAGGGGGGACATGGCAGACACTTCCAGGATACGTGGGTCCAAATACTGACACGCGCGCTCGTGTGCACCTACGTGAAGTGCACTCCCCACAGCTCCAGCAGCCTCTGCACGGGCCGCCAGCACCTGCTCTGAGCGTTGCCCAGCCAGGGTCTGGTGGAGGGGCACCCCTCAACCCTGGCCAATCCTCTCAGACCTCTCCCCGCCATTGGAGAGGCTTCAGCCCTGGCACAGAGCTGCTGACCACTGCCCCCGGGGTCGGGCCCTGGTGGGGAAGGGGCTGAGGCCGGTGCCCCTTCCCCAGTGCCCTCAGCCCACTGAGGCCCTGCCCGGCCCGTTCCAGACCGCGGGACAGTGCAGAAGGTCATCGTGCTGCCCAAGGACGACCAGGAAATGGAGGAGCTCATGCTGGAGGAGGTGCAGGTCTTCAAGGTGGGTGTGGCCCCGGCCTGTCCTCGCCCAGGCCCTCAGTGCCAGCGCCCAACCTCAGAGCCCAGGGCGGGGCCGGGGAGGCCCCAGAGCCCTGGGCTGACCCTTCTCTCCTCCCAGGACCCAGCGCCCGTAAAGACCATGACCATCTCCTCCAAGAGAGTGAGTTTCAGTGGGGCGGGCTACGGGGAGGATGGCGCTCACTCCCCTTGGGGGTCGTGCCCTGGGCACAGGGGTGGGGAAACTGAGGCACAGAACAGGAAGGGAAGGGGCTGCCTGGGGGAGGGAACTGACCTGCCCCTCCCCCACCCCTCACCCCCTCCCCAGCAACAACTGTACGTGGCGTCTGCTGTGGGCGTCACGCACCTGAGCCTGCACCGCTGCCAGGCCTACGGGGCCGCCTGTGCCGACTGCTGCCTCGCCCGGGACCCCTACTGCGCCTGGGACGGCCAGGCCTGTTCCCGCTACACCGCGTCCTCCAAGAGGTGTGCACCCCAGACCCGGGGGGTTCTAGCCCCAGGCCCCACCCTGGGGGTTTGGAGGTGGAGGTGAAGTCACCCAGAGGGAGTCTGTGGCCCTGGTCTCGGGGCGCAGGGCCTGGGAGGGCGAGTTCCCTAGGCAGCTCCGTCAGCGGCTCTCCTCACCCAGGCGGAGCCGCCGGCAGGACGTCCGGCACGGGAACCCCACCAGGCAGTGCCGCGGCTTCAACTCCAACGGTGAGTGCCCCCCACTCCCACCCCCAGCGTGGAGCCCACGCGGCCGCCACGCTGCTCCCGGGCCCAGGGGGAGGGGTCTCACGGCCCACAGGGGTGAGGGGCTTGGGGTCTCAGCACGCGGTGTCCCGGGCACCCTCAGGAGGGGGTGGGGGCCCTGCCCGTGCGCCTCGCCCCTCGCCAGCCTGCCCTCGGCCCGCAGCCAACAAGAACGCGGTGGAGTCGGTGCAGTACGGCGTGGCCGGCAGCGCCGCCTTCCTCGAGTGCCAGCCCCGCTCGCCCCAGGCCTCCGTGAAGTGGCTGTTCCAGCGCGACCCCAGCGACCGGCGCCGCGAGGTGATTGCCCCGCCGCCCCGTGGTGCAGGAGCCCTTTGTGCGTGGAAATCCCACGCGGGGGAATGTGGACAGGAGCCCATCTGGGCAGCCTCGGTCTAAGAAAGCCGCCGGCTCCCTCCTGGAGGACGCACCGGTGAATGAGTCACATGGGCACTCGGGTGGGGCCCACAGTGTGAGGCCTCACAGGCGGCCTCCGCTTGCAAGCCCCGCCCGGCACCGTCCGAGGGCCCCCAGGCAGGGCGCCGGCACTGGCGAGCTCCAGTGGATAGAAACCCGGGGGCACCCTCCTCGCGTGGGATTTCTCTGAGGGAGGCCCAGGGGGTGTTCTCAGGAAATAGACGTTCTCTGTGTGCGCTCCCCAATTCTCATCGTACAGAACCCCCACGGCCACCCTCCGGAAAGGGAAATTGTGTGATGCCTCATTCAGACGCAGTGTTAAACCCTTCCTGCGGGTTTCTCTTGCTCTATGGGAACTCCTCAGGGTGCCCCGCCTGGAATGGCCACAGGTGGCCTGACCGAGAGCTGCGGGGTGGCAGGGGGCCCCAGCCCTGAGCCCGCTCCCTGCCTGGACAGCAGGGGACCCCAGCCCTGAGCCCGCTCCCTGCCTGGACGGCGGGGGGCCCCAGCCCTGAGCCCGCTCCCTGCCTGGACGGCGGGGGGCCCCAGCCCTGAGCCCGCTCCCTGCCTGGACGGCGCGGGGATCCCAGCCCTGAGCCCGCTCCCTGCCTGGACGGCGGGGGGCCCCAGCCCTGAGCCCGCTCCCACCCTGCAGATCCGCGCCGAGGAGCGCCTCCTGCGCACGGACCAGGGCCTGCTGCTCCGCGCCCTGCAGCTGGGCGACCGCGGCCTGTACTCCTGCACAGCCACCGAGAACAACTTCAAGCACATCGTCACGCGGGTGCAGCTGCACGTCCTGGGCCGGGACGCCGTCCACACCGCCCTCTTCCCGCCGCTGGCCGTGAGCGCCCCGCCACCCCCTGGCGCCGGCCCCCCGACGCCTTCGTACCAGGAGCTGGCCCAGCTGCTGGCCCAGCCGGAAGTGGGCCTCATCCACCAGTACTGCCAGGGCTACTGGCGCCACGTGCCCCCGAGCCCCAGGGAGGCCCTGGGGGCACCCAGGCCCCCTGAACCCCAGGACCAGAAAAAGCCCCGGAATCGCCGCCACCACGCCCCGGACACATGAGGTGGCTGTCTGAGCCCTGCCACGGGCCACCCTCGCCCTGTCCCTTTTAATATAAAAGATATATAGATATATATATATATAAAAATATCTATATTCTATACACACCCTGCCCCTCAGAGACAGTATTTATTGGTGGGTTGTACATAGCCTGCCTGGGCGGCAGCATCGGCAGACAGCCCCGTGCTGGTCAGAGACAGCAGAGAACAGGCCGCCGGCCCAGCAGCCAGGGAGCCAGGCCAGGACTGCACGGCCCGACGCAGCTGCGAGTCACCCGCTCCACAGCCCCCACTGGATCCACGGGACACGGAGGGAGCGAGCGGCACTGGACAGGCACGGACCGTACACCCTCGCCAGCGTGCGCTGTGCCTGAGCCGCCGGCATAGCCGTGGATGGAGGACTGCTCGTGGACGGGGCGGGAGGGGGGCAGCCGCACTCAGAGGGAGGGAAGGTGTGCGGGCCATCACAGGACGGCCCTGCCTGGGAGGGGGCACTCGGTCAAGGCCAGCCCCTGCCCAGGTATTTATTCTCTATTTATTGGGGATGAGAAGAGGAACCCTGTGTGGGTGGGGCAGCCCGTCCAGCCTTCCCTGCCTGGCCATCTCCCTCCTCTTGGCTGTTCTGTGCCACTGGCTCAGGGGCTGGCGAATAGCAGAGGGGCCGGCACAAGCGGGGCTGCGGGCAGAGGGGGCTGTGGCAGAGGCCTGGGGACAGCAGGGGCTCCCCGGGGCTCCCTCCTGCCCCCACTTCAGATGAGGGGTGTACATAGCTCTGGGGGGCAGTTGGGCAGGCGGACGGGGCTCCCGGAGGCCCTCGCCTCCCGGCCACAGTGCCCTGGGTTCCATCTTGTTAATAAACACTGGCTCTGGGACTGGACTTCTGCTTCTCCTTGGCAGGGGCAGGGGGGTGGGGGTTCAGCCCGGATCTGCCCCTGCTGCCCCCCCACACACACCCTGTGCAGCCTGGCCACCGGTTCCCCCGTTCTCTCCTGCAGGGAGGCGGCTTCCCTTCCTCATTCAGGTGTCCGATCCTCCAGCTCGCCTCACCCGGCTGTGTCCAGCCTTGTGCCAGCCCTGAGGCAAGACAACGCCACAGCCCCCCCCCCCCCCCCCAGCAACAGAACCCCATCCTGCCTGCTTCTAGGCCAGCGGTTCTCAACCTGTGGGTCATGACCCCTTTGGGGGTCGAACGACCCTTTCACAGGGGTCACCTAAGACCATCGGAAAACACAAATATAATTACATATTGCTTTTGTGATTCATCACTATGCTTTCATTATGTTCCATTTGTCACAATGAAAATACATCCTGCATATCAGGTATTTACATTATGATTCAGCAGCAAAATTACAGTTACGAAGTAGCAACGAAAATAACTTTATGGTTGGGGGTCACCACGACATGAGGGACTGCATTAAAGGACCGTGACGTTAGGAGGGTTGAGAACCACTGGTCTAGGCTCTGCAGAGGGTCCAGGCTGAGCAAATGCCAAGGTGGGAGACGGGGTGGCTGGGGAGGCCTGAGAGGAGCGAGTGGGCTGGCGCCCTGGGCCAGAGGTCATGCCGGCAGCCACGGCGAAGCTCTGGGGGGCCCGTGGGTCCAGCAGGGCGACGGCCTTACCTGGTGGCCAGGGAGCCGGCGGGACAAGAAGGCAGTGGGTTGGCCTCACTTTAAATAAACTCAAGATGCAGAAAACAGGTTTGTGGCGGCTTAACCAACCTGGGCTCCTGCACCCCAACCCCCTGGGCAGAGGTGGGGGTGGAGGTGGATGAAACCTGAGGCTGAAATGGAACAAACGACCTTTGGCTCCCGGACAGGTTCCCCGCCCCCCAACAGGAGAGATGGTGAAGCCGTGGGGAGCCGACACCCACCTGCGTGTCGGGCACAGTCTTCAGTGCTGAGCGGGGCCCTGGCCGCCTCAGCCTCCTGGTGGCAGATAGAGTCAGGCATGAGGAGGCAGCCGGGTTTCTGGAGGGAGCCAGGCGGGAGGCTCGGGCCCTGGAGGGAGCCTTGGGAGCCCAGGTTTGGGTCTTGCGATGGGGGGTGAGGAGTCTCCAGAGCCTGGGAACCCAACACTCCAGGCTCAGCGGACCCCATCCCAGCAGCACGCCTTGTCCCGCCCAAACCCACGGCACAGACCACAACCCCGGAGCTGCGTGCCTCAGAGAGCCCTAGGCAGGGCCCAGAGCAGGAGCAGAGAGATGGCCCCACCCTCCCTCCCCATCGGGGGCCAGGCCAGCCCCCGGACTCAGTTTCCCCCGCTGACAACAGACCCGTAAAACAGTCTCTGGAAGCGCCTGGCCACCCCTGCTGGTCAGAGACCGTATTGCACTGAAGTAAGTACACATGCAAACAGGCATGTGACTACATGCGCACGGGTATTCACACGCACACATGTACATGCCCACGGGCACATAGGCAAGTGCACACTAACATGTGTACATGTATGCGCATGTACATGCATTTGTATATCCGACACACAGGGCAATCCACACGTGTGTATAAGCTCATGTGTGCATGAAATGTACAAAAGCACACACACGCACACTTGTACACAAACAGGTATGCCAGGGCACTCAGGCACTCAAAGGCACACATAGGCACACGTGCACTAAAGTACAGACGGGCAGACGTGTGTCATGTCATTGCCTACGTGGTGCCAGCGAAGGATAGACAGGCCGCCAGGCACACAGAGCAGGCGTGCACCCCACCCAGTCCACGGCATCATGGCAGGTCGGGGCGCCGCCAGGTCCCGCCAGCCTCCGGGTGGCACACATGGAATGTCCTCCTTTGCCTCTTGACGCCTGGAGAGCAGAGCACTTCCTCATGCCAGAGTCACCCAACTATTGCCAGTCACCTCCTACCGTGTGAGTCACCTCCATGGCTATCCTGGGTTCCTCCTTCAGCTCCTCCCTCAGCTCCTCCCTCAGCTTCTCCTCCCTCAGTCCCTCAGTCCCCTCAGCTCCTCCCTCAGCTCCTCCCTCAGCTCCTCCCTCAGCTTCTCCTCCCTCAGTCCCTCAGTCCCCTCAGCTCCTCCCTCAGCTCCTCCCTCAGTCCCTCCCTCAGCTCTTCCCTCAGCTCCTCCCTCAGCCCCTCCTCCCTCAGCTCCTCCCTCAGCCCCTCCCTCAGCTCCTCCCTCAGCTCCTCCCTCAGCTCCTCCTCCCTCAGCTCCTCCCTCAGCTCCTCCTCCCTCAGCCCCTCCCTCAGCTCCTCCCTCAGCTCCTCCTCCCTCAGCTCCTCCCTCAGCTCCTCCTCCCTCAGCTTCTCCTCCCTCAGTCCCTCAGCTCCTCCCTCAGCTCCTCCCTCAGCTCCTCCCTCAGCTCCTCCCTCAGTCCCTCAGCTCCTCCCTCAGCTCCTCCCTCAGCTCCTCCTCCCTCAGCTTCTCCTCCCTCAGTCCCTCAGCTCCTCCCTCAGCTCCTCCCTCAGCTCCTCCCTCAGCTCCTCCCTCAGTCCCTCAGCTCCTCCCTCAGCTCCTCCCTCAGCTCCTCCCTCAGCTCCTCCCTCAGTCCCTCAGCTCCTCCCTCATCTCCTCCCTCAGCTCCTCCCTCAGCTCCTCCTCCCTCAGCTTCTCCTCCCTCAGCTCCTCCTCCCTCAGCTTCTCCTCCCTCAGCTCCTCCCTCAGCTCCTCCTCCCTCAGCTCCTCCTCCCTCAGCTTCTCCTCCCTCAGCTCCTCCTCCCTCAGCTCCTCCTCCCTCAGCTCCTCCCTCAGCTCCTCCTCAGCTCCTCCTCCTCAGCTCCTCCCTCAGTCCCTCAGCTCCTCCCTCAGCTCCTCCCTCAGTACCCTCAGCTCCTCCTCAGCTCCTCCCTCAGTCCCTCAGCTCCTCCCTCAGTACCCTCAGCTCCTCCCTCAGCTCCTCCTCCCTCAGTCCCTCAGCTCCTCCCTCAGTACCCTCAGCTCCTCCCTCAGTACCCTCAGCTCCTCCCTCAGCTCCTCCTCCCTCAGTCCCTCAGCTCCTCCCTCAGCTCCTCCTCCCTCAGTACCCTCAGCTCCTCCCTCAGCTCCTCCTCCCTCAGTCCCTCAGCTCCTCCTCCCTCAGTCCCCTCAGCTCCTCCCTCAGCTCCTCCTCCCTCAGTCCCTCAGCTCCTCCTCCCTCAGCTCCTCCCTCAGCTCCTCCTCCCTCAGTCCCTCAGCTCCTCCTCCCTCAGTACCCTCAGTCGGCCCCTCCGTTGGCACCTGGCACTGATGATGTGGGCGCTCTCCCCGAGGGCAGGCATGAGCACAGAATGAGAGTGCAGAGCCCAGTGCTGGGCGGGGGGCAGGTGCTGGTGCACGCTTCTCCCTCTACTCCCTGCTGCCAGCCCTGCCCCATGGCCCCCACGCCTTGGCTCCCCTTTCTGAGCCTGGACCCTACAGACAAGTCTCCCTGCTCCAGGCAGGGGCTGGACGCTCTCAGGGTCTCTCCTGGAGGATGTGGGGAAGGGAGTGGGGTGCAGAGTCAGCAGTTGGGGGATTGGGGCCATGCTAGCCCGATTAGGAGGGCTGGGGCTGAGCTCGATTCACCTGTCCTTGTCTCTGATTGGCTCCTGGGTACCCCCAGCACCCAAATCCACTAAGCAGCCCGCCAGGGCCTGCACAGCTCTGGGGAGCCAGTGGACTGCTTGCGCAGTCCCGGGGCCAGAGGGTGTCCCGGGAGGCCGGAGGCTGGCCTGAGCCTGGCTCTGGAGAGCCGTCCATCCGCAAGAGCCCACGACCGCTTCCTCCCGGCTGCGGGCCATGGGGGCTGGGGCCAGCGCCGAGGAGAAGCACTCCCGGGAGCTAGAGAAGAAGCTGAAGGAAGACGCCGAGAAGGACGCCCGAACCGTGAAGCTGCTGCTTCTGGGTAGGAGTGTGGGCCCAGGGGAGCCCCAGCCACGGGTCAGAGGCCTGGGGGCGGGCAGGCCTCCCTCCTGGGAAGCAGAGTGAGCCTGTGACAGGGCAGGGAACAGAGTGGGGGCCCTGGCCGGCCCTGGTCGGCGGCATCCTGGTTCCCCCAGGCTGGGCATGCCCTGCAACCCCCTCCGGAGGGCCCACCGCAGGCAGCCGCCCTGGAGAAGTGTGTTCTAGCCACTCCTGCAGAGGTGTGCGACGGGCACACTCGCTCCGGCTGGGGCTCAGGAACCAGGGCCTCCTGGGAAAGCCCACCGCAGGGCTGCCCCCTTGGGAAGGAGGTCTCAGTCCTCCAGCCTCTAGAACAGTGGTTCTCAACCTTCCTGATGCTGCGACCCTTGAATACAGTTCCTCATGTTGTGGTGACCCCCAACCATAAAATTATTTTCGTTGCTACTTCATAACTGTCATTTTGCTGCTGTTATGAATCGTCATGTAAATATCTGACATGCAGGATGTATTTTCATTGCTACAAATTGAACATAATTAAAGCATAATGATTCATCACAAAAACAATATGTAATTATATATGTGTTTCCCGATGGTCTTAGGCGACCCCTGGGAAAGGGTCGTTCGACCCCCAAAGGGGTCACGACCCACAGGTTGAGAACCGCTTCTCTGGAACCACCTAGATTAGAGCAGTGGTTCTCAACCTTGGCTGCACATGAGAATCACCTGGGAATCTTTTTAAAATCCTGGTTTCTGGGCCTCATCCTCCGGGAATTCTGTTTCTTTGTAATGGGGTGGGGCCACAACGTTAGTAACAGAGAAACAGAATTTCCGGAGGATGAGGCCCAGAAGCCAGGATTTTAAAAAGATTCCCAGGTGATTCTAATGTGCAGCCGAGGCTGAGAAGCACTGCCCTAGAGCCACACACAATCCCAGAGCTTTACTGTAGGTGGACCTGCAGAGCAGCTACAGGGGAGGAGTGGGGCTGAGGCCCAGGGGGAATGGGTGAGCCCACGGCCCCATGGCAGTGAGGGGACGAAGGGTGCACCCAGTGTCTGGAGGCCTCTGCCACTCCCCAGAGGAAGAGATGTTCTGAGGGGTGCAGGCTCCACCCAGGCTCTCTGGATCCAGAGACTAAGCCAGAAATCCCATTAACTGTGCCCAGCGCCGTGTCAAGAACAGGCTTATGGAGGCTGTCAGCTGTCCCCCCTCCCACCCAAAGGCGCTAATGCCCTCTGAGCCTCAGGGAGACCCCCCCCCCTTCGCCCAGGGGAGAAACTGGGCTGACCCGGCTCAAATAATCCCGGGCTGCGGTACCAACTATGTCCACAAGGTGGCGCCCCAGGCTTTCTTTTGGCTCTCGAACTAAAAGCCTGCGTACCCGGGGTTTGGAGGTGCCCCCGCACAGCGGAGGTCCTGGGGAGTCCCCTCCGCCAGTCTTCTTCGGACACTCCTGACATTTGCAATCGTTTTCCTGCCAGGGTGTCAGTGCCTTATTTTGGGAGTGAGGGGGAAACAGGTGGGACCGAGGGCTGGCGGGCGCTCTGGGTCGGCCTGGCCGCAGGGGTGGGGAGGGGGAGGGGGAGAAGGGAGGTGCGGTCAGCGCGGCTCAGCGGTGGGGCTTCCCTTCCAGGTGCTGGCGAGTCTGGGAAGAGCACGATTGTCAAGCAGATGAAGTGAGTGTCCCTGCTGTGGGAGGCCGCGGGGGTGGGATGGGGTGAGGTGGGGCGGGGCGCGCGCACTGGGCCCGTCCTTCCCCACCCGACCGCGAAGAGGCGCTGACCCCGGCCCGCCCGGGCCCCAGGATCATCCACCAGGACGGGTACTCGCTGGAAGAGTGCCTGGAGTTCATCGCCATCATCTACGGCAACACGCTGCAGTCCATCCTGGCCATCGTGCGCGCCATGACCACGCTCAACATCCAGTACGGAGACTCCGCGCGCCAGGTGCGCCAGGGCGCGGGCTGGCGGGGCCTCCGCGGGCTCGAGGCGCGGGCCTGGGCCCAAGTCCGGGTCACGACCGAGCACTCCCCCTGTGTCCCCCAGGATGACGCCCGGAAGCTGGTGCACATGGCGGACACCATCGAGGAGGGCACGATGCCCAAGGAGATGTCGGACATCATCCAGCGGCTGTGGCAGGACGCGGGCATCCAGGCCTGCTTCGAGCGCGCCTCGGAGTACCAGCTCAACGACTCGGCGGGCTAGTGAGCGCCGGGCGAGGCGGGGCGCGGGGCGCGGGGCCGGGGCGCCTGCACCCACCCAGCCACCCGGGGTCTCCGCAGCTACCTCTCTGACCTGGAGCGCCTGGTGACCCCGGGCTACGTGCCCACCGAACAGGACGTGCTGCGCTCGCGTGTCAAGACCACCGGCATCATCGAGACCCAGTTCTCCTTCAAGGACCTCAACTTCCGGTACCCCCCCCCCCCCCGCGCCGGCGTCCCCGCGTCTGGGGGCGCCCCCGCCAGCCTCGGGAGGCGAGGGGAGGCCTGTGGGCGTGTCCAGGGGGCTCGAGGCTCGGGCTCAAGCCCCGCCCGCCCGCAGGATGTTCGACGTGGGCGGGCAGCGCTCGGAGCGCAAGAAGTGGATCCACTGCTTCGAGGGCGTGACGTGCATCATCTTCATCGCGGCGCTGAGCGCCTACGACATGGTGCTGGTGGAGGACGACGAGGTGGTGGGTTTCCAGCGGGGCCCGCGTGGGAGGGGACCGCGTTCGGCACCGTCCGTCCGAGGAGGATCGGAGGCAGCCAGCGGCCCCGCGGAGGGGATGGGGGGGGGAGGCCGCCCCGAAGCCTTGGCGCGCAGAGGGGTGGGCGGCCCGCGCCCGGTGCCCGACAGCCCCGCCTCCGCAGAACCGCATGCACGAGAGCCTGCACCTGTTCAACAGCATCTGCAACCACCGCTACTTCGCCACCACGTCCATCGTGCTCTTCCTCAACAAGAAGGACGTGTTTTCCGAGAAGATAAAAAAGGCGCATCTTAGCATCTGCTTCCCCGACTACGACGGTGAGGTCCCAGCCCGGCCGCCAGGCGGCGCCCCTCCCCACGCCGCGGCTGCGCTCCTCCACGGACCGAGCGGGGCTGGGAGTGAGCGCTCCCCCGCCACCCACCCAGGGCCCAACACGTACGAGGACGCGGGCAACTACATCAAAGTGCAGTTCCTGGAGCTCAACATGCGACGCGACGTGAAGGAGATCTACTCCCACATGACGTGCGCCACCGACACGCAGAACGTCAAGTTCGTCTTCGACGCGGTCACCGACATCATCATCAAGGAGAACCTCAAAGACTGCGGCCTCTTCTGAGGTGCGCTCCCCACTGTCTCCTGTCGGGCCCCCTGACCTCTGCGCCCAGCCCATCCCCACTCCCAGCCACCTCACTACAGCCCCGCTCCACCGCCGGACCCCCAGCTCCCCGCCCCCTCTGCTTCCAGGCTCCACCCCCTGCCGCAGGCCCCGCCCCTGGCCCACAAGTCCCACCCACTTCATCTCTTGGGACCCGGCCCCAGTGCCCCAGGTGTCCTTGCTTCCAAACCCACCCGCACAGTGTCTCAGCCACAGCCCAATTATGTGGGGGCTGGGGTGCTGACCAGGTCCCTGAACCCATGCATGTGCCGAGAACCTGTCGCCCAGCCACCCCGGCCCCAGCCTGTGGCCCCACCAGCCACAGATCCCAAACCCTGCGTCCCACTAGCTTGCAGTTCCTGTCCTTCCCCTGAGGCTCCCGGGCCTCCCAGAGCCAGGTGCCCCCAAGACCAGCTCTGCCCTTCACGGCCTGGCGGCACTGGCCTCCGGACCCACCGCAGCCAGCCCCAGCTAGGAGCCAGCAGGACTTGGGGCAGCTGGAGCACACAGTGACTCAGCAGTGGCCGGCTGACCAATCTCCTGCCGCCCTCCCGCCCCAGGGGGCCCGTGACTCACCCGGTGGGTCTGGGCTCCGCAAACAGCCCTCCCTCGCAGAGTTCCAGGCACTGCAGGGGGCAGGCGGGATCCCTCCTCCCAGCAGCCTGCTGATCACCAGCCCGGCCCAGCCTGCCACCTCCATGTGACAAGTCTGACACCTGTCCGCCCAGCGGCCAGTGACTGTCCCTCCCAGCCGCTTCAGGGGTCCAAAGTTGAAGCCAGCTCTGGCCCGGGCGGCTCCTGCACATGAATTAGTGACTGGGGTCAGGCCTGGAGCCCCTGGGTGCCAGGGAGAGACTCATGCTAGACCCTTCCCCACATGTCAGGCTCAGAGGAACCCCTAGCCCCTTCCCCCACAGCTCTGCCCCCTCTGTCCTTGGACACCAGATCCCTGCCCCACTCACCCACCCACCCACAGTGCTCCCGGCCGGCCGGTCAAGGGGATGGTCTGTGAGGGAGGGTGCTGTTGACACCCACGGTGGCCAATGGCCGAACTGTCCTGAGGGGTGGCTGGGGCAGAGTCCAGCTCCATCGATCAGCCCCGGCAGAGGAGTTGGAACAGGATGGAGGCCCCGAGGGTCCATCAGGTGGGGTCACAAGCAAACCAGGTGACCCTGGTGGCTGCCAGCAGCTTCTCTCGCCCTTTCTGTTCAGGGCTCACTCCCTGGCAGGCGTAACAGCGCCATGCCTGACCCGTCAGGGACAAAGCCCCATGTCCCCTCATCCCCACTCCCTTCTTCTCACCAGCACCGGCCCTTGCTGGTCCCGTGGGCCGGGCCTCACTGCAGGCGAGGGCAGGAGCTGCTGTCCCGCGAGCTGGCGCAGGCCTCGCCTCCCACCCCCCAGCTAGACGCACTAGGCAATAAACTTCCGCATCGGCCCGCTGTCCTTTCTTGGGGCGAGGGGGGTGTTAGTTATCCAGAGTCATGGGTTCATATGAAGTGCTGGTGCCGGTGCCAGGCAGCCATGAGACCGTCCCTTCCAGGTGGGAGCACCTGGCTGCCATGGCAGGGGGCACTCAGGGACCAACATGTGCCTCTTGCTGGGGGCTGGGGCGGGGGCGGGGGGGTGCGGGAGGAGCCACGGGCAATGTTCGCAGGGACCGTCTTCGATCAAGAGGGAGTTTTGAGGTGGAAGCACATCTGGAGGGCACAGCAGGGCAGACACGGCCCAGGAGCGGGGCGGGGGGGGGGGGGGGCAGTTCCCTGGAGCAGGAGCAGGGAAGGGGCATGGGGTGGGGACAGCGGGGAAGTGCCAAGTGCCAGCCGGGGCCTGGGCGGCAGAGGATGCTGGCTCTCGAAAGCCCCTGAAGCGAGGACACCATCGCTGGGTCGCTGGGCTGGGGCTGGGGGAGGCATTACCTCTGGTGCGAAAGGTAGGGTTGGGCCAAAAATGTCAATAATCAAATCATGCGTTAATGCGATATTTTAAAAAATCAAAACGGCTGCAAAAACCCATGTGCACCAAATATCAGAATCCTGAACAAAGACCGAATCCGAGAGGCCGGGGCGGCCGCGGGCGCCAGGTGGGAGCCGGGCGGAAGGAGAGGGGACCCTCCTGTATGCGCTCATGCATTTTTAATGGTTCATTTTCTCGCGTAACTTTAGTTGGAAAAAGCATTGAAATAACTGACAGTCGGTATATATATTTTTTCGCTTGACAGTAGGTATATTAAAATGCAAAATATTACTTTAAGCTTAAATATTTCACTGACACCTAAAACCATGTATAATTTTATTTTCCTCATTTTAATGCAAACATGATCATCAGTGATATTTTCCAAATCTGCTTCTAGAGAAAACGAATCATTAAAATTTTTGATGAAAACACATATAGGGGCACACATGTTTCCTGGGACCAGTGTGAGTGGGCCGGGGGTCCATGGGGAAGACGTGTCCTCGTTCCCCCGTGGGGCCAGCATCCGCAGGAGTGGGGCTCAGCGACAGCATCCGGGTCTGCTGGCCACGTGCACCTGGCGCCCCCGGCAAGCTGGGGCCACAGAGGAAACCGAAGGGGCTGATGTCCAGGCCTGTGCTCACGGGAAACACCAACCAGGAGGCCGCTGGCTATTGGAGCGGGGGTGGGGGGGGTGGGGGGGGCGCTAGAGGGGAGAGGAAGGTGCCTGGACCTGAGCACGGGGTGGGGGGGACACTAGGTTAGGGAGCCCAGGACACATGTGGGCACCACGCCGGTGCTGCTCAAAGGCCTGAGGGGAAGATGGGTCTCGGGCCAGTGGGTGAGGGCCCCCCGGGGGGGGGGTCTTGGGCCTGGCCGAGCGGGGCTGTCCTCTCAGCCTCTCAGCCGGGCCCCTCTGCCTGTGCAGCGGCTGGAGTGAGGTGGGCGGGGAGAGGCGGGACAGGACTTCGAGGGACAGGAAGACGAAGCTGCGAAGAGCTGGAGGTGGTGGCTTGGAGGGGGGCCCGTGGGGTCTCCCCAGAGCCGCCTGCTCTTGGAAGAAAGGGAGTGAGCTCCCCAGCCTTCCTGGGCAGGGTTCAGAGCGCAGCCCAAACACCACACAGGGCTGGACCCCCCAGGGATCCCCGCCCATGCAACCTCACCCCTATGCCCGGCCCTCACCCCTATGCCTGGCCCTCACCCCTGTCCCTGGGTCCCAGGGCTGGACGATACTGGCCTCAAATGCCCTGTCGTGGCTGGCCAGCCTCCGCGACCCACTCAGCGCCCCAGTGCAACTACACCCTGGCCCCCAGCCCGGCAGAGGCTCCGAGCTGGCCACGCCCGGTGATGTGGGCAGGGGCGTCCACCGGAGGCGCCCAGGCCGCCACCATCCGGCCCGACCTGCGACGTCAAGGTGCCCCAGGGCCCTCGCGGCCTTCAGCTCTGGCTCTGGCGGGACTCACCTGGCCCAGCGCTGAGCAGAGATTAGACGAGCCTGGCGGACGGTGAAGGCCACTGACGTCAGGATCCGATTGGGCAGCCCTGGGGGCTGGGCCCTCCCCACAGGCACTCGCTTGGCCCGTGTGACTTGGGCTCATTAAGCCGCTTCAGTGGCCAGAGAAGCTGGGGGCCAGGTCTCGGGGGAGAGAGGGAGGAGGGCAGGCAAGACTGGAGGACACGAGGTCAGCAGCTCCGGGGACTGTGGCTGGGGAAGGACTGACTGGAGAGGAGGGTCCCCTCTCTCCTCCCCTGAATGGTGCCAGCTCACCCCTCCTCATGCTCGCGGAGTGTCCCAGGCACCAGGCGGGAAGGGTAGTCAGCTGTAGGCGTGGGTCCTGAACCCGGGAGCGTGGAGCCCCAGAAACCCCCAGCGTGACTCCAGGCCCATGTCCTGCCCAGCACACAGCCCTGCACCTGTGGGTGCTCATCCCGGCTCACACTCCCATTTTCCTGTGGCCGAGCTGTTTCCTCCATCCAGGCGCCCGTCCCCCCCCCCCCCCCCCCCACCACCTCCCCCTGCCACAAGACAGGTCCCCCGGCGGCTTCTCCAGCAGCAGCTTTTCCGCCCACCTGCAGGGGCCTCCCTCCAGCCGCCTGGAGAGAGAGGCCTGAGGCTGGGCCTGGGAGACAGCAGGCGAGAACAGCCAGAGGTTCTCACAGGTGACCTTCATCTGGGTGTTGAAGGATGAGTAAGAGTTTGCTCAGGAAGTGAGATAGGGTGGGGAACAGGAGGGCAAAGGCCTGGGGAAGTGAAGGCAGAAGTGGGAATGGCTGCCTGCTGGGCTGGGCGGTGAAGGCGGAGAGGCCAACAGAGGAGGAGCAGGGAGGGGGGGTGTGAGGGGGCGCCTGCAGGGGTCCTGTGGGAGGGGTCAGTGAGTGACCCTAGGCTCTGGGGAGGACCAATGGGGTGAAGAGTGACCTCGCTGGCAGACAGGGCCTGGGCTCACTGTGGCTGGTGTGCCAGGGGAGGGGCGTCAAGGTGGTGCCAGGGGAGGGTGGCATGGCGAGAGGAGGCTGTCTACCCAGAGGCCCACAGGACATGACTAAGAGGGAGGAGAAGAGCGAGGGGTCCAGACCCTGGAAGGAGGGCCGAGCAATCCTGGGACCCTGAGTTCGGCCTAGGGCCTGGCAGGCTCTTGGTCGGAGATGGGGAGGAGAGGGAGGCTGGGCTGAAGGCTGAGATGAAGCCATAAAGCTCCGCCCCGGCCTCCACTCCAGGCGGCTGCCCTCCACACCCGGCTGCAGGGACAGACGGACATTCCCTCTGGTCCCTGGGAGAAGGCGCCGGCAGTTCTGAGCCACATCCTGGCTGCCAGCTGTCCGGCCACCACAGGCTGGGCTGGGAGCTTGGGCAGGTGTCGGGAAAGGCTGGGAGCTGTGTTTGCCCTGGCCCCGGCCCAGGCCCAGCATCAACAAACAGGCAGCCCCTCCCCCCGCCTGGCCTGGCCCCGGGACCCCACATCAGGCCGGCGGCCTCCCACAGCAGCCCGGCCCCGCCGCCCCCGCCCCTGCACTCTGGATTGAGGACCTAAACACCCACATGCTGAGTGACCTTGAGGCCAGGCCTGCCCCTAGTGGAAGTACCGGCCCTTTGCAAATGGCTCCCATGAGCACCCAGGGTTCTGTGGGTGGAGATGGGCCACCCCGAGACCCTGGTCAGAACCTCTCCATCTGACTCTGTCCCCTGGCAGTCCTCGAGCCCTTTGGGAGGGTGAGAGTCTTGGGGTCCCTCATGAGCAAGTCAGCTCTGATCTGGGAACTCCACCAGCTCCAGATCAAGAGGAAAGCCGGTCCCTCCATCCTTCAGCTGAGGGAGGGCAGAGTGGGGCGGGGTTCAGGCATCGCCCCTCCTTAGTGCCTATCTCTAGCCCTCCCAGGCCTCTGGCGCTCCAGCCAAAGGACACTGAGGCACACTGAGATTGGCTGCAGAGAGGTTGTGAGTCAGGAGGAAGAGAGTCCGGGAGTCCTGACTCTCTTAGGCGTCCCCCAGCACCAGGGCAGGGGGCACACAGACACAGGCACCCCAGGCGGGGGACGGCGGAGGCCACGGGATTCGCAGGGTCAGAGCCAGTGGCTGAGAAGCAAGGACACAGCTGCTCTGGGAATGCACCCCCCAGCTCACCTCCGAGGTCAAGGCCTCCCCCTGCTCCCTGCCGGCTGGGCTGGGGGCCTTAACACCCACCACCCACCTCTAGGCACCAAAGTCTTGGGTGGGAAGCAGGGAAGGGTGGTATGGGAGCCCCCAGCCCAAAACAGGGCCACCCCCAAACCCCTTGTTCCAGGGCACCAAGTCCCAGGCCCACTTCCCATAGGCAGACTGACAGCTGTCGCCTACTCAGAGATCAAGAAAGGGGGACATGGCCGGGGAGGTCCCGGCAAGGCAGGCGCAGCCAGGCCCAAGCCGAGCCTGGCTCCCTCTGGTCCCCGCAGCTCCTGTCCCACCTGTTTAGCCTCAGTCGCATCTGAATGTCTGGGATGAACACAATTAATGCAGGGACCCTCCCCGCCCCCGCACGCACCCCTACCCCACCTCTGCTTGGCGAGGGTGAGGAGGTGGGAGGCGGAAGGCACTTTGTGGCCGCGGAGTGTCTGCAAGCCCCGTTCATGCCCATGCATCTCTCACTGGGCTGAGCCCTGCGTCCTTCCCAGTCCCCACTCCCCTGGGCTGGAGAGCCCACCCGGCTCAGGGAGGTGAGGGCAGCGCGTTTCGGGGTGTAGGGCAGTGGTCGGCAAACTGCGGCTCTCGAGCCACCTGCGGCTCTTTGGCCCTTTGAGTGTGGCCACGAAGTTTCAGTCGCACTGTACGTGTATCCCCGCACGTGGTATTTTGCGGAAGAGCCACACTCAAGGGGCGGCAGTTTGCCGACCACTGTAGGGGGCTCCCCGGGAGTCTGCTTTGGACAGAAGCATCCCGCCCCCCCCCAGACTCAAAAGAGCCCTCCCCCAGCAGCGGCTGGCAGTGGTTCTCAACCTTCTGGCCCCTTAAATACAGCTCCGCATGTTGTGACCCAACCATTAAATTATTTTCGTTGCTACTTCATAACTGTAATGCTGCTACTGTGATGAATCGTCATGTAAATCTCTGATATGCAGGATGGTCTAAGGCGACCCCTGAGAAAGGGTCGTTCGACCGCCAAAGGGGTCGCGACCCACAGGTTGAGAACCGCTGAAGGGGCCCCCTAGAGCTCACGCTGCTCGCCGCCGCCGCCCGGCCTCTCCGGGACCAGCCCCGCCTCGGGCCGCGGGGATTGGCGGGCGGGGGCCGGGCCGGGCCGGGGCGGGGCGGCCCCTTCATCCCCTGCAGCGCGTGGGGCCGGAGCAGAGAGGCAGCGGCCGAGCGCCGAGCACCCGCGTCCCCGCCGCGAAGCCAGGTACGGCCAGGGCGCCGACCCCAGCCCCGGGCGCCGCGCGGGCCGAGCCTGCCGGCCACCCTCCGTCCGGCCGGCTCCGGGCCGCTGCCCGCCCGCCCCGCCTCGGCAGGCGCCCAGCCCCCGGCCCCCGGCCCCCGGCCCGCGCGCTGGGACCCGCGTGGCGGACTCTGCTCGGGGCTGGGCCGGTGTCCCGGGAGGGGCGCTCGGAGCCGGGCGGGCGGGCCGGGCGGGACAGCGGGTCGGCGGCACCCGATGGGCGGCCGAGGCGGCCTGGGCGGCCGGGCTGGAGCGGCCGAGGGGGGTAAGAGGGCCCGGAGGCACCCCAAGCGCCGCCCCGACGGGCACCTGGCGCACGCCGGCCGGTGAGCAGGCGGGGAGCCGGTCTATTTAACGCAGCTGCGCCGGGCAGGGGGTTGAGGGCGGATCGGGCGGGCTGCCTGGGGAGCTGCGGGCACATGCTGGCCCCGGAGCCCGTGCCATTTGCAGCCGGGCCGGCGGGCATGCGGGCACCGGGCGCTGGTGGCTCCCGAATGTGAGGGCGGGGCTCGAGGGGTGCCCCTCTCCACCCGGTGCTCAGGCCGCTGCCTGGCGGGGAGAGGTGGCCGCCGCCAACGCAAGGCGCGCCTGTGTTTGTTTACACCCGGGTCTGGGAGGAGGCCCTGGGGCGGGGCCTGTGGGGACCCCCCCCACACTGACCTGAGCCCTAAGCCCAGGTATAGGCTCCAGGTCTGAGGGGAGCTAAGGCGCAGGTCCTTGTGGGGACACCTCAACGCAGGCGCATCCTTCCTGCAGACTCCCAGACCTGCCTTTCCTCCCATGAGGGCCTGGGTCCCTGGCTCCCCTGGGGGCCTGTGGGCGCCCCCCCCCCCCAGGCTGGCATGGGCTCCTTCCTTCTGGAAAGCAGGCACCTGCTCCGAGCATAGAAAGCGACCGGGGACAGTGCCGTTACAGGAGGGAGCTCAGCTGCTGTAGGCAGCACCGGAGGTGGCAGGGGCCGGCGGCGGAGCCCAGGCCTGGCGCCTCTCTGAGGACTGGGATGACGAGCAGGAGTGAGAAACTGACTCCTGGGCATGGGGTGGCGGGGACTGACTCTGGTGGAGGTGGGGTCCGTGTCTCAGAACTTGGTTCTGCCTGGACCCAGAGAGCCCCTGTCCCCTCGCTGGCTTCTCGGGCCACCCCTCTGTTCAGTGCTGGTTCTTTTGGCCCAAAGCACACAAACCCGCCCCCAGTCCAGGGCTCCGGGAGGCCAGACCAAGAGAGTTGGTTGTTCCTGTCTTAGTGGCTGCTTGCTTAGAGTCCCAGACAAATGGGGAAACTGAGGCGAAATGGGACAGGCTAGGTGGTTCATGGTGTGTGGGCGGGGCCAGTGGAGGTTTTTGAGCTGAATGGAGTGCATGCTGAAAGTCTGGGTTGGGTGTGGGACGGGCACTCAGTTTGAGGGGAACATGTTTTGGGGGAGTTTGGCGTCTGTGTGCAGAAGCCTGGGGGGCGGGGGGGGGGGCCGGGCCGTGTGGGAGGACGCTCCGGCAGGCATGGCCGGCAGCTGCCGTTGCAGCCGGGGAGAGGCTGGGAACGGGCCAAGGCCCTTGAACCGTTTTATTTGTTGAACAACATTTACTGAGCACCTACTGTGTGACCTGCGCACACTCCGTCTGCAGGGTGGAGGGTCGGCCTTTGACTCTGAACATGAAGACAAATGCGGGATGGGTGGGGTGCTCTAGGGGACTGGGCGGGGCTTTGGGGGCGAAGGAAGGCCCAGCTGCTGGGGCAGGGGTGGCTGGGCTTTGGATTTCCGCTCTGCAGGCCACGTCCTGCACAGCCCTCAGCTGGCACGTCTTCACACGTGCGGGCCCTTGAGGCTGGGGTCACTCCCACTGCCGCCGGCTCCGTATATCTTTCCCATTGTGTGTGGTCGACGCGGTGCTGGCCAGGCGGGGTTTCCAGCTGGGCCCGGCCTGCGGATGTCCCTGCACCTGGCGGAGGGGGGCACAGCCCCTTTGTGGGAACTGGAAACGCAGCGGCAGCCTTTCTGTGGGTCCTCCAGGGTCCTGCCTGGTCACCCCTGCAGGGCCCCCTGGCCTGCCGCCTGCTCACCTGGGCCTCTGGCTGCCTCTCCCCTTCCTGCTCCTGGGCCGTCTCTGCCTCTCCTCGCTGTCCCTTGCTGTCCCTTCCCTCGCTGTCTCGCCTCTGTCTCTTTCTCCGTCCGGCTGTCACTGACTGCTGAGCCGCCTCTGGCTGTCCGTCTCCCTCTCCCTGTCTGAATGGCCAGCCGCCTACCTCTGTGTCCTTCTCTCTATCTGCGTCCCTCTGTCCATCCGCCCCTCTCCGACCCCCTGTCCCCGTCCGGATCAGGGTGCGTGGACAGCATGTGTCGGGCGTGTTTTCTCTCTGCTTCTCCTCCCTCCCTCTGCCTCTCTCTGCTTCTTCTGGACGTTGGATGGAGCCTCTCCTCCAAGCTGACCTTGCCGTCAGCCCCCCCATCGGGGTCTCCGGTGCGTCCTGAGCTGCCCCGGGCCCCTGCTCCAGCTCTCTTTGGGGCCAGAAGTCCGGCTGTCCAAATATTTGGCCGCCTCCAGGGGATTCCGGGTCAGCAGGGAGGAGGATGGGCTGGCTGGCGCGGGGTCTTCCCTGCTCCTGGGGGCCCCAGGCATGTGATGTCCTGTCCTTTGCCTCAGCTGGGCCTCAGGCTACACGTCCCTCTCAGCGGGCTGGCAGCGGGGCGGGGGCTGCTGCTGGCTCCGGTCCCGTCTCGAGCCAAGAGGTTCCAGCTACAGCCGCTCCGGGGTCAGCCTGAGCGGGGAGGGTCCAGGGCTGGGTGGGCAGGGAGGCCGAGGTGTCTGGTGCGAGGCGCAGCTCGACGCATCAGCTGAGTGTCTAGAAAACAGCCCAACACAGGAAAGTCCACCTTCCGGTCCCCCCTTCCGGACGCCCAGAAAACAGACGCGCAGCCCCAGGCACAGGGCCGGGAGCCAGGGGAGGGGGATCGGTGTGGCCACCGCAGCGATGTTCCGGTCACCGGCCTTTGCCCACCTGCGTGCCACCAGCTGGTGGCATACGCTGGCCACTGCCCCAGCGTTGTTGACAAGGAGGGAGTCGTGGACGGAGAACTGGGTCTCCTGGGGTCAAAATCGGGAGCTGCAGTGCTGGGGGCGGGGCAGCGGGGGTGTGACACCTCCCTGTTCTGGACACGCACCCACGTGCCTTGGTCCTGGCCCCTGACCTCCGCCAGCAGGTTCCCTTCGATCCATGTGGTTGCGCCTTGAAAACACGCAATCCAGACGTGGGAGCCCATCTCCCCGCTGGCCGGCAGCTTGCCTAGGAGGTGTTTCCCTCTGAAGGCTGGGGAAGCAGGTGGCAGAGTGGTGCCGGGCTGACAGGGGCACCTTGTCTCAGCCAAGGGGGTGAGGGATCAGGATGGGGAGCTGGAACTGGGGCAGCCCTCAGCTCTGAGACCCCAGGGGTAGCCACAGAGGACCCTCAGGCCAGCTGCCTCTCCTCGGAGCCCTGGGCCAGGTTAGGCTGCCCAGGCCCGAGAGGCTGGGGGCCGTGGCAGCCAGCTCTGCGGGGTTTTGCGTCCACCAGGCTGTGGCCACGGGAGCGAGGGGCACGGGGAGGCTGCCTCCGCCCCGTCGCTGGGGTCGGGAGGAAGGCAGCGCTTCCCACAGCGGCTGACACACGCGGCCCTGATTCGGGGCCTGGAGTCTTTAATTAGCCAAGCTTGGCACCTGCAAAGGGCGCCTGACGAGTTCGCACCCTGATGGCACCCTGATGGCGTGGGCCGTGGGCGGGCGTCACCTGCTGCTCCGTCCCCCCCCCCCCCGCCCTTATCTCCCCGCAGAACAAACAGGCCCGGGGCAGTGGCCTGGCCATCGATTTCCTGCCCGAGCCCATGCTCGCCAGTGACAGATGCCATCCTGATGACCCACCACAGGTCACAGCAATCGCCCCGCCCCCGTGCTCTGGGGGCAGAGGCCCCAGGGAGGCTCCTCACTGTGTCCCCAGCTTTGGTCAGACCTCACGGGACCCCAGGAGGACGGGCAGACACTGAGTCCTGAGTGGGGAGTCCCCTGCCCGCGGCCACGCAGCGAGGCAGGACGGTCAGCCTCGGACGCAGAGGGCACTCAGCTTTCCCCAGAGAGTGTCTGCGGGCTGCTTTCCTTGGGGGGGCGGCCCCGAGTCCACCCGACCCCCCGGTAGAGAGAAGCCTGGGAAGTGGCAGGCCCGAGGTAAGGGGGGCGGGTGTCAGAAATGGCAGCCGGCCTCAGGGGATGGCTGGGGGTCCGCGTGCCAGGCCAGTGCTCATGTCCACCCTGGGCCCCCAGCCCCTAGCCCTGCACTAGAATGAAGTACCGACTCCTTGCCTTGGCCTTGAAGGCTTTGCCAGGCTTGCCTGTGGCCACGGAACCTTTGCTCCCCCTCACAGCCTGCCTCACGCCACACCCAGGGCCTTTGCCCATGCTGTGTGCTCTGCTTGACTCACTCTCCTATTTCCCCACCATGGGGACTCCCACTGGAATTTCAGAACTGACTCCCTCACTGCCGCCGCCTCCAGGAAGCCTTCCGTGATGCCTCGCTCTCCCCTTCTTTGAGTCCCAGCACTATGCAGTTCACACTCAGTTGCAGCAAGAGCCATAAGGTGGTGGTGAGGGGCTTGGGGGTTTGTCATTTCCAGACTGAAGGCCAGTTGAGGGTCCACATACCCATGTCCTCTCTGGGATCCCAGGCCAGCCCAAGAACCCGTGTGGCCTGGTTGTGAGTAACAAACAGGCCCTGGAAGTCTAAGCTCAGGTCCTGCTGGGGGTGAGGAACCTGGAGCCTGGCCCCCAGCACTGTGGCCATGACCATGCCGGGGGCTGTGAGGGAGGGATATTAGGGCAGAGAAGGGCGCTTGGTCCAGGCTGCCGACTCAGCACCCAGGGCCTGGCCCAGCCTGCCCTGGGGAGGCCCAGGCAGGCAACCCCAGCTCAGAGCCAGGGGCATCTGGAGTGACTCAGGACACCAGGTGCTGGCACCTCCACGGCAGCTGGCGTCCTTGGAGGGCATGGGTGGCGGGGCTCGGGCAACAGCGTGAAGCAGGCTGGCGTCAGGGATCTGGTCCTGGGACGAGGTCTGAGAAGAGATGCTCACACCCAAGGCCCTGGGTGGGCAGGGCTGGAGGAGAGGAGGGTCGGACGCCAGCACCAGAGGAAGGAGAGGCAGATTGAGGGGGTCCGAGGGGGCCGGGCGTGGGGCTCCCGGAACAACATGTCTGGCATCTGAACTCTGATCAGCTCTGTGTGGCTGCGGCCCCCAGGACACGGGGCCCGAGGCCCAAGCCTGGCCTCCCCTCCGCTCCCCTGTTCCCAGGTTTGAGGTCCTGGTGCTCCAGGTTCCAGAGCAACCCCAAGACCATCGGTTCTGAGTGGGGACAGAGGGCTCAGGGCCGGATCAGGGTTCCCAAGCAGAGGGGTGCCGTGGTGGCAGGACGGAGCTCTGGCTGACCTGCTTGGCAGTGCTGTCCACTCCCTGGTCACCACTCTGGCCTCGGCTCTCATGCTGGCCAACTGGCCTCCAGCATGGCCTTATAGACCCTGAGGGCGCTGTGCCCTGCTGCCTTCTGGTCACAGGTGGGTGGCTCCCGTCCCCAGGGTCGGGACAGGGGTCAGCGAGTTGTCTGGGCAGTGAGCAGGGCTGGTTGTGGGGAGCGGGGATGGGGGGCTAGTTCCATGAACCCCGGCGAAGCCACGCCCTAAGGCAGGAGAGGGGGCTGGTCCCGAGGCCCAGGTGCCTCTGCAGCTGGCAAGGCCCTGAGCCCTGGCCTGGGGCTCCAGGAAGGGGGTGCTGCTCGAAGGGCCCTGGCAGTGGGCACCTAAGGGTGGGGGCTCCCTGGAGGGAAGGAGAGGCCTGAGGGAAAGCGGGGCCTGAGGCCAGGGCTGGTGGAGAGTGAGGCCTGTGTGGCCCAGAGAACAGGGCCCGGGGCACCTGTTTCCGGGAAGGGCCCCGAGGGCCCCTTGTGGGTGGCGGGCGGGCAGGGCCCAGGTGTCCAGCGCCCAGCACTGCCTCAGGCCTCCTGGCTCCGAGGGGGTGGCCTCCGCGCCTGCCATTCCCAGCGCCAGCGCGGAGCCCACAGAGGGGCCTTTGTTCTGGCTGCCAGCAGTGCCCGCCGGGCGGCTGGGAACCGGGCCCGCAGCCCTCACCCTTTCTCCAGCCTTCAGCCGTCGGCTGTGCCATTCTAGGTTGGCCAGGAGGCCCCTGGCACACGGAGCGGGCACAGGAAACCGTCTCCCAGCGTTAACTTCAGGGAGGAGACAGTCCAGGCCCCCCCCTGAGTGGGCCATGGGGGCCGGGGACTCAGCATCCTGGCGCCGCTGGGCTCTGAACTTAGGGCATCGATTGACCTCGCTTCCCAGATGGGGACATTGAGGCCTTGAGGGCTGGCTGGGCCGGTGCGTGTGTGTTGGGGTGTGGGTGGAGCCCTGGGTACCGGTGGAGGTGCCCCTCAGGACGCCATGGTGACCCCAGGCGTCCAAGCTCTGGTCCCCCACAGGCAGGTTCCAGGGGGGCCGCAGGCAGAGCGGCCTGGTGCGCCCTGGGTGCTGGGCTGAGACCTCCTGTGGGAGCTGGGCCTGGGCCTGGGCCTGGGCGCGGGGATGACCCCGGGGCCGTCCGTGCTGCAGGCTGCTGAGTGTCGGCGTGAGAGCGAGGCTGTTCCCTGGGCCATGGAGGCGCCTCTGCAGACGGAGATGGTGGAGCTGGTGCCCAACGGCAAGCACTCAGAGGGGCTGCACTCCGCGGGCATCCCCACCGCAGGCAGCGAGAGGTGAGCTGCGGGGCACCCGCCAGGGCTCCGCGCAGAGCAGGGGCTGAGCTGACCGCCCGCCCTGGCCTGTGCCTGCAGGGCCCACAGCCGGCGGAGCCACGTGGAGGGCGAGGGCTTCGTGCACAAAAGCCCGGGCAAGGAGCCGCACTTCACCGACGTGAGCGGGCAGGGAGGGGCTAGGGCACCCTGGGGGCGGGGGTAGGGGGCAGGGAGGGGGTGCCCAGGGCGGTCAGGGAGGCCGAGGGGCAGGGAGGGATGCTGACCCACCCCCTCCCTCCCATGCGGCCCGCAGTTTGAGGGGAAGACCTCGTTCGGGATGTCGGTGTTCAACCTGAGCAACGCCATCATGGGCAGCGGCATCCTGGGGCTGGCCTTCGCCATGGCCAACACGGGCATCATCCTCTTCCTGTGAGTGCCAGCTGCCACCCTTCCCCAGATGGAGTCCAGGCAGGCCACCCCCAGGACCCCCCAGTTTCCTGTCCCGAGGCCCGGGTGGCAGGGACGGGCACTTACACGCAGTCCAAACCATGGCCCAACCAGCCCGGCCAGGCTACTGCCCCTCACTGCCCAGCGGGCCGCTGAGCTGCCGGCAGGGCCACTGCGCCTTCTGTAGTGACACGTGATGGGGCCCGGGGGCCAGGCCTGTGTGCACGCGTGTCCTCACCGGGGAGTCTGCCCCGCAGCCGATGGGACACACGTCTGTTCCAGGAACTCGAGGAGCGGTGGGCTGACAGCCTCTTCTGGGTCACGGTCCTTCTGGGTTAAACCAGCCGGAGCTCACCCCCCCCCGGGGCCTGCTGAGCATGTGTCTGGGGGTGCAGCCCTGGTCCCCGAGCCCACACCTCCAGGCCTCCCGGGCCCCTCGCCTCCGCTGGCCAGGGAGCCAGGGCTCTTTTCTCTCCCTCGCCCCAGGTTCCTGCTGACGGCCGTGGCCCTGCTCTCCAGCTACTCCATCCACCTGCTGCTCAAGTCCTCGGGGGTCGTGGGTGAGCCTCGGTCCCGCCTGCAGCAGGGAGGGGGGCAGGGAAGGGCGCTCCTGACGCGGCTCCTTGGCCCACAGGGATCCGTGCCTATGAGCAGCTGGGCTACCGCGCCTTCGGGACCCCCGGCAAGCTGGCGGCCGCCCTGGCCATCACGCTGCAGAACATTGGAGGTGCGGACGGCGGGCGGCGGGCAGGCCCAGGCGGGTGGGCCCCGGCGGACGGAGAGGGAGACGGTGAGGGGGACGGTCTGAGGGAGCGCAGGCCACTGACCCGGTGCCTGCCCGCCCCTCCCCCAGCCATGTCCAGCTACCTGTACATCATCAAGTCCGAGCTGCCCCTGGTCATACAGACCTTCCTGAATCTGGAGGAGAAAACTTCGTGAGCCTCAGGGTGGGGTGGGCTGGGTGAGGGTGGGAGGCCCCGTCTACCCCCGCATGTCCACCCCTGGCCCTGGGAGCCCAGGTGGGGCGAGTGGGAGAGACCCCATAATGGCTGGGCAGGGGCAGGGGCAGAGAGCGGCCGGCAGGACTGACATCAGCCACGCCCGGCCATGAAGCACCTGATCTTAGGGGACCCCCGGGAGAGCCACGTGGGCGGGGTGAGGACACAGGCCGCCTGGCCCTGCCCAGCCTGTGAGCAGGGAGGACCCAGGAGCCCCGGCTTAGCGCTAAGCGCCTGCTATTCCCGCTGTGGCTGGGGTGACCCCGCCCAGGACACTAAGCCCAGCGTGTCCCAGTTGCCCATCATCGGTTCAGCCGATGGCTTCAGCCACGTTGGTGAGTCGGGCGGAGAAGACAGGCCGTGCCCTTGGCCACAGCCATCGGCCACAGCCAGCGAGCAGAGGGGCTGACGCAGAGAGCAGTCTGGGAAGAGGGGACAGCGGACCCCCTCCCTGGGCCGTTCCCCAGGAGCTGGCCTTCGGTCCTGCCCAGAGGATGGTCCTGCCCCTCGTCCCTTTAGTTCCCTGCAGCCCCTGCCTGTGGCCGGCAGGATGAGGATGGTGCCACGCGCGCCGCAGGAGGGACCACAAGGGGTCAGGTGGTTGGAAAGTCCCGAGACCCAGGGAAGAGGCCCCACCCCCAGAGCCAGCTTCTTTCATCCCAGCCACCTCCTGGGCCCCTGGGGCCGCCCCCTGGGGAGGCCGGACCAGACCTCCGGGTCCTGAGAAAACAGCAGAGCCTGATGGAGTGGGGCCTGGGCAGTGGCCGAGCGCCTGGGGGACAGGGAGCCTCAGTGCCGGCACCACTGGTGACCCGGCGGGGGTGGAGGCAGGCGGCGCCACTCGGGGCTGCATGGGCTCTGATCTCGCTCCCCACTCCCATCCTGCAGGGACTGGTACATGGATGGGAACTACCTGGTGATCCTGGTCTCGGTCACCATCATTCTGCCCCTGGCACTGATGCGGCAGCTCGGTGAGTGTGACAGGGCCAGGCCGTGGAGGGGGTGTTGGAAGGATATGCCAGAGGAGACCGTCTCACAGCGCCTTCCCCGACTCCGCAGGCTACCTGGGTTACTCCAGCGGCTTCTCGCTCACCTGCATGGTTTTCTTCCTAGTTGCAGTGAGTCACCTTCCATGCTGGTCAAGGGAGAAGGCAGGTCCCCTAGGGCCCCTGTCAGAGGGAGGAGGCAGGTCCCCTAGGGCCCCTGTCAGAGGGAGGAGGCAGGTCCCCTAGGGCCCCTGTCAGAGGGAGGGGGCGGGTCCCCTAGGGTCCCTGTCAGAGGGAGGAGGCGGGTCCCCTAGGGCCCCTGTCAGAAGGAGGAGGCGGGTCCCCTAGGGCCCCTGTCGGAGGAGGCAGGTCTCCTAGGGCTCCTCTGTCTGACGGGCGGCAGCTCCCCCATCTGGTCTAGGTCAGAGCGACTTCCCAGGCAGCCTTGCCCGGCCCTGATACTCTCCTCCCCTCCCCCACCCCCACCAGGTCATCTACAAAAAGTTCCAGGTGCCATGCCCACTGCTCTCCAACTCTGCCAACATCACAAGCAACTCCAGCCTTGGGGAGGGAACACCGCCCCTGGGGGAGACTTTCAGCTCAGACTCCTGCACCCCAAACTACTTCACACTCAACATACAGGTTCTGACAGGCCCAGGGTGGGGGCAGGGCCGGGGGAGTCGGAGGGGGCTGCCCTGACAGTCTTCCTGCTCCCCAGACGGCATACACCATCCCCATCATGGCCTTCGCCTTCGTCTGCCACCCCGAGGTGCTGCCCATCTACACGGAGCTCAAGGAGTAGGTCCTGGCGGAGGGCGGGCTGCCTGAGCTGGTGGGGGCAGGGCGAGGGCGGGTGTGTCCTGCAAGGGGGGTGATGGGACCTCCATGTGCTATGGGTGATGGGAGGGGGGGACGGGGGGGGGGCAGGAAGGAGGCTTCCTTGTCGCACATGGTGAGGGGGCGATACCAGAGAGACCCGGGGCACATGGGGTCTTATCTCCCAGAGTGGCCCTGCCAGGCACCAAGCCCCTCTCCTGCCCCTCCCTTCCCCCTCCCCCCTCCCCCCTCCACCACAGTCCCTCCAAGAGGAAGATGCAGCACATCTCCAACCTGTCCATCGCCGTCATGTACGTCATGTACTTCCTGGCCGCCCTCTTCGGCTACCTCACCTTCTATGGTAGGTGCTAGGCTGCGGGGCGGGGCGGGGCAGGTGCTTGCCACGGGCACAGCGTCAGGGTGGACCCAGGCCAAGGCCCACCCCCTGCCCGGCCACCTGCTAACCCCCCCCCTCGCCTGGTGACCCCCCTCCCCGCCTGCTGACCCCCCCCGCCTGCTGACCCCCCCTCCCCGCCTGCTGACCCCCCCTCCCCGCCTGCCGACCCTCTCCCGCCGCCGCAGACCGCGTGGAGTCGGAGCTGCTGCACACCTACAGCCAGGTGGACCCGTTCGATGTGCTGATCCTCTGCGTGCGCGTGGCCGTGCTGACGGCGGTCACACTCACGGTGCCTATCGTGCTGTTCCCGGTGAGCCCGGGGCCGCCCGGCTGGGTGGCGAGGCCGGCGGGGCTGGGACGACGGGGCTGACGGCTGGTGACGCCCCCAGGTGCGCCGCGCCATCCAGCAGATGCTGTTCCCGGACCGGGAGTTCAGCTGGCTGCGGCACGTGGTCATCGCCGTCGGCCTGCTCACCTGCATCAACCTGCTGGTCATCTTCGCCCCCAACATCCTGGGCATCTTCGGGATCATCGGTGAGCGCCTGCTGGGCGGGCGGCCCGAGAGTCTCTCCTCCACAAATCCTGGCGGGTCCCGAGCTCACACCCCACACTTACTTACTTATTTAAATTCTTTAATTAATGGATTTTCGAGAGAGAGAGGGAGGGAAAGAGAAACATCGGTTTGTTGTTCCTCTTGATGCATTCATTGATCGACCCTGGTATGTGCCCTGACCGGGGATGGAACCTGCATCCCTGGTGTATCAGAATGACGCTCCAACCCACTGAGCCACCCGGCCAGGGCCTCACACCCACATGGAGGTGGGGGCTGCTGGCCACGGGCACGGCATGGCCTCCAGCTGAGGTTTTGTACGAAGGCTGTTCTAACACCTTTTGAGGACTCAGAACCCCTGAGGCGGTGCCTCCACAGGGAGGTCTTGTCCCCACCTTGCATGTGAGGAGCCTGAAGTTTAGAGCCACTGAGGGAGTCGCAGGGCCATTCAGCTGGTAAGTGAGGAGCCTGGATTCAGGCCCAGGACCATGAACGACAGCCTAGGTGCTCTGCCCACCACCCCAAACCGTTGGGGTCTCTGCGCTGGAAAATCAGCAATTCTGAGACATCTTGTGAGGGACCCATCTCAGGAGCCTGACTCCCTCACCCAACTCTGCAGGGACGGCCACACGGGCCTGGGCTGAGTATCATGGGTCTCAAGGACAGGACTCTTGGTTGTAAATATCCGAAATCCAACTCAAAGTGAATGAAGCACAAAGGAATGTATTGGCTCAAATAGTAGCAACGCCTTCGGGAATAGCTGTATCCAGGTGCCCAATATCCTTATGTCTCGGTCTCTAGCTCGTCACTTGTCTTTCCTCTTTGCCAGCTTCACTCACTGAGATTTTCTGACACCAGCGAGCTAGCTTTCTACCCCAAAGGGCAGAGAACAAGAGCAGGGGCTGGCGGGCCCCCTAGAATCTCCCCCAACAAGGACTGTTTGATTTCATTGGGCCCAACCCCTGGAACGTAGCCAATCGGTGGCCGTGAGCCCGTGGTGGCCATGCCTGGTTTTTTGCAGGTGCCACGTCGGCCCCATGCCTCATCTTCATCTTCCCTGCCATCTTCTACTTCCGCATCGTGCCCACCGAGAGGGAACCTGCCAAGTCCACCCCCAAGATCCTGGTGCGAGGGGCCTGGAGGCCGGTGGGCTGGTATGAAGCTGAGGGCACTGCTCTGACCTCGGTCCTGACCCTGACCCCTGACCCCACAGGCCCTTTGCTTCGCTGTGCTTGGCTTCTTGATGATGACCATGAGCTTGAGTTTCATCCTCATTGACTGGGTGTCGGGGACCAGCCGGAGTGGAGGAAGCCACTAGGACAGCCCGTCCTGTTCTGCCGACTCATCCTGCGCCCCTGCCCAGACTCCTCAGCCCCTGCTCGCACCCGGCGCCAGGCAGGGCCAGGAGAAAGGCGTGGCTAACGTTATGGCGGCGCATGGCCCTGCCCCACGTCCTCTCTGTGAAAGGCTTTTATTTTTAAAAAGAACCAGGACCAAGGCCCTTGGCCCGACCCTGCTGGGCCCTGGGGCTGCAGCGCCTTCCTGAGCTGGGCGCGGGGGGCTGCACCCCTGCTCCCCTCATGTTGCCTCAGATCCCCCCAAACCCCGCTCCCCCCTTGCACAGAGGCGGACACTGAGTCACCCCGCCTGTGGGGCACACAGAGCGGGGACCAGGCCGCAGCCACCCCCACCTGGCTGCTGGGCCACGGTCTGCCCTGAGGCCCCAGCTCCCTTGCCCCCATGGCCTCCCCCCCCCCCCCCCGGCCCCTCGCAGGCACTTGGGCTCAGGCCCCTGGATGCTCTTGTCCCCTCTCCCACCCCTCCACCGGGAGCAGACCCCCCACTCTGCCCCTGGAGCCAGCAGGTTCTCTGGAGGGTGAAGCTGGTGTGGGGACCCCCAGGGACCCCTCCTGCACCTGCACCAGCCCTGGGGAGGCTGGGACTCCCCCACCCGAGCCTGGGCTGAAGCTCGCATCCAAGAGGAGAGAGGCCGGGCGGAGGCCTCTGCCCCTGCGCCGAGCCCCCAGGTCCCTGGGGCAGGGGGAGGCTGGCTGCAGCCCTTTTATAAATATGACACACAAGCTGCGTTCCCTGTTCTTGACTCCTGGGGCCTGGGTTCCTGGAAAGCAGCGTGGGAGCTGGGATGTGGGTGTGATGGGGGCCCCCTGCCTCTGCCCCGGGATGGGGTGGGCACAGGCGGTCCCCTCCTGTCCCACCGCGGCTGCTCAGACCCTTCTCTGGGCCCGGGCCAGCTGCGCACAGACCTGCTTTCTCCCGGGCGAGGTGGGGGATGAATGAGGCCCAGGAAGTGGGACAGAGAGGCTCCGGAAGGAGGCAACGTGAGGCGCATCCAGCACCGAGATCTGTGCCCCCCCCCCTCTAGCCTGCAGGAGCCCCGCCTCCCCCCACCCCCCACCCCCATCCAGGGCCCGTGCCCTGTGCCCATCAGACTGCTCTCCCCTAGCAGCGCCTGCCTGGGTGAAGGTGGGGAGGGAGCCGTGTGGCCTGAGTGAGCGAGGGCGCCCAGGCCAGGCAGGGGGTGCAGGACACCGGGATAGGGGGTAGTGCTGGGGGGGGGCCTGGGAGGCTGCCCATGGCCTGGGGCGGGCCTGAGCCAGTGGGGCCCAGCGGGATGGAGCTGCCCAGGTCTTGGCACCAAACCCTCATTAGCAGAGACCCTGTGCCCAGCGAGGCCTCCGAGGAAAGGGCAGCAGGAAAAATCCAGTTAGAACTGGCAGGGCTGCCAGCATGGCCCCTGAAGAAAGGACTTCCTCGGGCTGGTGGCTGCTGGGGCCACGGCGTGCCAGCGCCTGGTTCCCGTCAGCCCCGCGCCTGGCTCCTGGGGAGCCCCGGGACCCCAGAAAGAGCAGGACCCTGGCCTGGGGGGCCGCAGCCCAGCGTCCCGGCGAGAGGGCCGCCCTCGGGGGCTCTGGCTTCTTCCCATCAGAGGAGGCTGCAGCCCGCCTTGGACCCTGGGCTCCTGGGAGCGGGAAGCAGCACAGGCAGGGGCCGCCCTGCACAGACCTGGGCCCGTCCTGGCACCCTCCGTCCAGAGGCCACAGGGGACACGCCGGCAGTAGCTCCCCTGCCGCGCACAGGGGCAGGAGGACCCTGCCCGGGAGGCCGCCCCAGCCAGACACTGGGCAGCAGGGCTGCGGCCACTCCGCTATATCCAAGCTCAAGGGCCCACAGGCTGAAAGTGAGTGACCTCCCGCCTAGCTGTCCAGTCCCAGACTCGGGCCCCCGGAGGCCCTTGGTCAGCATTAAGCATTTTTGTGTTTTGAAGAGGATCCCAGGTCTTTTCTTTTTCGCTTTTATTTTTTTATTTTTATTTTTCTTGTTTTTTTCTTTTTCGCTTTTAAAACGTTTCTCTAGCCCTGGCCAGTTTGGCTCAGTGGATAGAGTGTCGGCCTGCGGGCTGAGGGGCCCAGGTTTGATTCTGATCAAGGGCACATACCTCGATGGCAGGCTCGAGCCCCAGCCCCAGTCAGGACACGCAGGAGGCAACCGATCGATGTGTCTCTCACATCGACGTTTCTCCCCCCCTCCTTGTACTCTCTAAACAGCAATGGGAACATATCCTCGGGTGCGGATTAACAACAACAACATTTCTCTGAAAGAATAAAACACACAAAAACAACACACACGAAAAAACTTGTTCACTTGGAATATGGACAAGATAGAACAGCAGAAAGTCCAGCACAAAAGTCTTCTAGATTTCTCGTCACTGCTTTTCTTGTGACTACTTGTAACAGGGAGCAAGTGAGTATAGACCAGGACCCGGCCGGCGAGGCTCCGTGGTTGAGCATCGACCCAGGAACCAGGAGGTCACGGTTCAATTCCCCATCAGGGCACATGCCCGGGTTGCAGGCGTGATCCCCAGTAGGGGGCGTGCAGGAGGCAGCCGATCAATGATTCTCTCTCATCATTGATGTTTCTCACTCCCTCTCCCTTTCTGAAATTAATAAGTTTTGTTTGTTTTTTTGAGAGAGACGAGGAAGCCGCACCTAAGCCTGGGCCCCCTGCCCCTCCGCATGCACCTGTGTGCACAGGGATACATCCACCTCCCAACCGAAAAGGGATCATCATTCACCCGCCAAGTGATCACTGAGCCCTCTGAGCCAGGCGCCTCCCCGCACCTGTGGCCACGGCAGCGGGCGAGGGGGCGGCCTGCCTTCCTGGGACTTCCATTGTGGGTGGGGGATTCAGACCAGAAACATGAAATCATCAGTAGGTTCTGTCATTGGTTAGAAGGTGCTTAGTGCTACTGTGGGGAGCAAACTAGCAAGGTGAGGCAATGGAAACAGGTGTGGAGGGGGTGGGGGGCTCGCTGAGAAAGGGACATGTGATCAGAGGTTTGGAGAGAGAGGGAGCCATGTGGATGCCTGCAGGGGGCCGTCCCAGCCTGAGGGGTCAGCCAGTGCAAAGCCCTGGGGCAGAATGTGCCTGGCCAGGCCCTCATGTGGCCGATGGCAGGAGAGGCGGAGGCAGGAGAGGCTGGAGGGGCGGGTGGAGCCTGGGAGGGCAGATCTCTCCGGAAAGGCAGAGCCCTGGGGTCCTGAGCACAGGAGGAGCAGGAACAGGAACGGACTCAGTAGCAACTCCAAGCTTAAAGGGATCATTCTGGCCGCTGCCCCGAGGCTGGGCTCTGAGTGGGGGCTGAGGAGCCCAGGGTGACCCTGACACAGGGCCACACGGTGGTTCAGTCAGACAGAGATGTTGAGTGGCTCAGCCCAGGGGGCACCATGGCCCAGGAGGGGCACCGGGCTCGCCCTGCAGGCAGAGGCGGCAGGGTTCCCTGAGGGTTTAGGTAGGAGGGGAGGGACTGAAGCAAGTCAAGGTGACTCCCAGCCCATCTAGGGACTGAGCTGCCACTGCACCCGCTGGGGGAGGGCAGGCTTGGGAGGGAGGTCAGTTTTGCCAATGAAACTCGGGCTGGACGTCCGCATAGAGATGCCCAGTTGACCGTGGGTATGGGGCCCGAGTTCAGCAGGGCGGCCAGCACTGTAGCCTTGGAGCTGGGAGGCAGAGGGAGTGGACAGCAGGAAAAGCCAAGGGCCTGGTGAGATGGGGGAGGTGAGTTTGGACAGAGGAGGGCAGCAGGCAGGTCTGAGCGCGGGGACATTCCTGTCAGGTGCTGGGAGGTGAGGCGGAACCATCGAGGCCCTGAGCAGGAGCAGCCGGGCAGTGGGAGGAACCCAGGGGAGTGTGGGCACTGGGAGCCCGGCCAGCATCAGCTGCTCTCGGACATGAGGGTGGAGAGCGGACCAACAGCGGGCTGCTGAGGGCCGGGACCAGGGCTGGGTCATGCAGGGAGGGCACGTGCGACTGGACCACCTGGTGGAGGGGAAAGAGGCAGGAACTAGAGAGGCCGAGGGTAGAAATGTGTGTGAATTGAGAGAAGCAGGGCCCACGGAGGCTTTCCAGGAAGACTGGAAGTTGCATTAGCCGGTGTGGCTCAGTGGATAGAGTGTCGGCCTGGTGACTGAAGGGTCCCGGGTTCGATTCCCGTCAAGGGCACAGGCCCGGGTTGCGGGCTCGATCCCCAGTAGGGGGCCTGCAGGAGGCAGCCGGTCCATGATTCTCTCTCTTCATTGATGTTTCTCTCTCCCTCTCCCTTCCTCTCTGAAATCAATAAAAATATATTTGTTAAAACGACTGGGAGGAAGCAGCTATGGGGAGGAAGAGCTTGGGGGGAGCTGCTAGGATGGCGGCTCGGACGGAGGTAAGCGAAGGACCCCGGGGCCAGGGCCTGGAGGAGCCGAGCTGGGAGACAGGAGGTGGCGCTCGGACAGTTGGCATCAGGGCGTGTGCAGGTGGCCATGGGCTGGCAGCGAGGGCATCTGGGTCCACGATGCAACCAGGGACCTGGAGGAGCATATGGAGGGGCCCAGGGGAAGCCTCAGGCGTCCGCCTTGACCTCCATCTCCAGTCAGGCAGCCACCGACTAACTTTCAAACAACTGGGAGCAGTAATCATGGACGGAAAGTTACTTAGAAAGAGCAGCCCTGGGGATCTGCCAGGAGAAAGCGGCTTTCAAAGCTACGAGCTGCAAACCTGCCTGCACCGCCGCCCCCAGGACCCGGGCGACCTAGTTCCCAGGCGGGGAAGGCGGCCTCTGCTGCCCCCTCGCGGCCAGCGCCGCCCCAGCCTCTAGCCCGGCTGGTGGGCTGCGGGCCGCGCAGGGGTCCCGAGGTCCAGGCGCGGGAAGACCGCAGGCAGGAGACTGCGGGGCAGGGAGGGGCGGGGCGGGGCCCTGGGGGAGCCAGGCCGCAGCCCCCCAAGGGCTGCCTGATCCCGGAGAAGGGGCCCAACCTTGGCCAAGCGTCCCCAGAGCCCCTCCAAGGATTACACAGCCCCTCCTCTCACCCTGCCCACGTCTCTGAGGTCAAACTCAGCCGGGCACGCGGAGCCCCCACTGATCACCGGGCCGGGGGCTGGGCGCGGGCGATGGGCACGGAACCGCCTGACCCCCGGGAAGCAGGGGAAGTGACCAGCGAGGTAATCGCCCAAATCAGCGTCTCATCGACCGTGGGTTGGGGCAGGGGGAGGCGAGAGGGCGTCCTGGGACGGAGTGTGAAGAGGCCGGGACCAGAGAAGCGGAAAGGCGGTGCCCCGGGACGGTCTGGGGATGGGCTGAGGCTGGAGAGGGCCCGGGGGCCGGGGGTCGGAACAGGGAGAGGGCGTCGGGGCGTCCCGGAGGCTCCGACAGGCGGCTGCCTGTGCAGGGGGCCTCGCTGGCCTCGCAGCGGCA